ATTGATTTCATATTCTACAATGTTACTGCTCATTTATTCATTGTAATGTTTTTCTTGGACTCCTTACGATAATCTAAGTACATGATCATGTCAACCATGAACAGGGATACCTTCACTTCTTCCTTTTCAATCTGGATCCCTTGTGATTTTAATCACTTTATTGCCTTGTCTAAAAACCTTGTTGAATAGAAGTGGTGAGAGGGAACACCCTTGTGTTGTTTCTGATCTCAGGGAGATAGCATCCAGCCTTTCACCGTTAAGTCTGGTGTCCTCTGTGGGTGTTTTATAGATGACATTCATGAATAAAGTTTCCCCTTTTGTTCTCATTTCGTTAATAGTTTTTATCATGAAAGGGTGTGTGAAATTTTGTCAAAAACTTTCCTGAATCTATTGAGATGATTTTGTGATTTTTTGCTTTTAATTCTATTAGTATGATATATTGCATTAATTGATTCCTAGAAATTAAAACAATTTGTATCTCTTAGATAAATCCCATGTTGTCAGAGTATATAATTCTTTTTACATGTTTCTGGATTTTGTTTGCTGGTATATTTGCATCCATATTCATGAAAGATATTGGTCTGTAGTTTTCTTGTGATACCTTTGCCAGTTTTGGTATCAGAGTAAATCGTACTCCATAAAATGAGTTGGGGGTTGGGCATGGTGGTTTATGCCTGCAGTCACAGCTACTTGGGAGGCAGAGCTCAGAAAGACCGTGACTTGAGGCCAACTCAATCAAAAAGTTAGCAAGACCCCATCTCAATCAATCAGCAGGGCATAGTGTCTCACAACTGTGGTCCCACCTATGCAGGAAGCTGTAGGTAGGAGAATTGTGGTCCTAGGACAGCTCTGGGCAAAAACTCAACATCCTACCTAAAAAATAACTAAAGCAAAAAAGGGCTGGTGGAGTGGCTAAAGTGGTAGAGCACCTGCCTGGCAATTATGAGGCCCTAAATTCAAACCCTAGTACAGCAAAATGAATAAATAGATAGATAGATTGATAGATAGATAGATGATAGATAGATAGATAGATAGATAGATAGATAGATAAGATGAGTTAAAAAGAGTTCCTTGCTCTTTTGTTTGGAAGAATTTGAGGAAAACTGGTATTATTTCTTCTTTGGATGTATGGTAAATTTCCATTGGTGAAGATACCTGGGCATGAACTTTCCTTTGTGGGTTAGTGCTTTGATTACTGATTCAGTCTTTTCACGTGTTACAAGTCTATTCAGATTATCTATTTTTTTCTTGAGCCAGTTTTGATAGCCATCATGTACATTCAACTTATTTGTGTCTTAGAATCTAAAGAGTCAATTGTTGATAGAAGATAGTTAGATCCATTGTTCATTTTGCCAACCTCTGTGGCATAAAAAGAGTCATGCTTTTTAATGTTTGACTACTGACACCTTTCAAACTATCTCACTCCACTTTTCCTTTCTGTGTCATATCTAGGAAAGCTGGTAAAAGAGAGAGAAAGAGAGAGAGAGAGAGAGAGAGAGAGACAGTGCCTCTGTCTCTTGGCACTGGTGGAAAGTTCAAATCATACAAGCTTGGCCCTATGCCTGGGAACCCTCACCTCAATCTCACAATCTACTCTTCATGAAATGAGATTTCATCTCTCTGTCACCTCAAGCCATTTTTGGTCCTTTTCAGAAGCCTGTCAAACTCTCTCAAGCACCCCTTATTATGTGACTAATATATCCTGCCTTTGTTCTTGGTAGGTGTGTCACCAGCCTTGATGCCTGAGTAAATTTGGGGTGGTCAAACCCATCCCATCTCTGCAGGACGACCACCACACTCTGCCTTTTGTTTGAAAAATTAAGTCCATTTACATTTAATGCAATAAATTTAATGTAATTATTGATATGGTAGGACTTATGTCTGCCCTCTTACATCTTTTTAATTTTATTTTTGGCAGTAGTGGTGTTTGAACTCAGGGCCTTGTGCTTGCTAGGCAGATGCTTTACCACTTGAGTCATACCCTCAGCCCTTTTTGCTTTGGCTGTTTTTGAAGTATGGTCTCACTTTATTCCCAAACTGGCCTGGACCTTGGTCTTCCTATTTATGCTTCCTGTGTAGCTAGGATGACAGGCACTCTCTACCATGTCCAACTTTATTTGTTGTGATGATGTCTCTCAAACTTTTTGCCTAGTCTGGCCTCAAACCTTGATCCTCCTGATGTGTGCCTCCCAAGTAGCTCATTACATGTGCTATTTTTTATATGTCTTACATCCTTTTTGATTTCTTGATTTTTACATTATTGCTCTATTCAGTACTAAATAGATATTTTATAGAGTAACATTTTTTTCTTCCTTTGTTGTTTCTTTATATATTTTTTGAGTTATCTTCTTACTGGTTGCCCAGAAAATTGCTTAACTCACAACAATCTAGTTCAGATTAACATCAACTTCATTTCAGCAGTATACAAAAACTTTGCTCCAACATAAGCTTGTTTTCTTCCCCTCTCCTTTGTTCTATTATTATCATAGAAACTGCATCTCTATGCATTATGAACTTACCAGTGCTGTTTTATAGTTATTGCTTTATGCAGTTGTCTTCTCCATAAAATATTAGAGGAAAATAATTACAAAAATATGTACATGTTATCTGTGTATTTATAACATCTGTTCTGATGGTCATTATTCTTCCAGGTGAAATTCAAGTTACTGTCTAATGTCTAATGTGAAGATTTCTCACTGATATTTCTTATAGGGAAGATATTTAAGTAGTAAATTCTTGAAGTGTTTGTTTATTTAAAAATGCCTTATCTTTCATTCCCTTTTTTTTTAACTTGATGGTACGGGGGTTTGAACTCAAGGCTTTGCATTTGCAAGGCAGATGCTCTATGGATTGAGCCACACCTCCAGCCTATCTTTCATTCTTGAAGAGCATTTGGTGGGTGTATAATTCTTGGATAATGGTCTTTTTCTTTCAGCACATTGAATATATCATCCCACTGCCTCTGATCTCCATAGTTTTTTTAATGAAAAGTCAGCACTAACTTTATTGATTCTCGCTTGTATGTAATATGTCATTTTCTGTGGTTTCTTTTAAGATTCTTTCTTAGTCATTGGCTCTTAACTGTTTGACTATGATATGTCTGGGTAGTACTCTTTGAATTATCCTACTTGGAGTTTATTGAACATATTGAATGTGCAGATTAATGTTCTTCAACAAATTTGGGGGATTTTTGACCATTATATATCTTCAAATATTCTTACAATCCTTGTCTACATTGTCACTATAGTGGATCTCATGGCTTTAAGTGGAATATATATATCCAAAGTTGTATCAGCAGACCTGACCTTCAGACACATATTCAACTACCATTTTGACTTCTGTTCTGTTTTTAAATCTCTAATAGCATCTCAAACTTAAAATGAACAGAACAGAACCTTGGTTTCCATTCCCAAACCCGTCCTTACCCCCCAGGCTCCCTACCCCTTATTAGCAACTCTGTCTACCTAGTTGTCTAAACCAAAACATAGGAGTATCCCTGATTTTTCCCTTTCCCTTGATTATCCATCTGGTCCATTACCAAAATAGATCTCCTCCAAAATAGATCACTTATCTATTGATACTCCCAGTTCTTAGGTGCCATCCTTTCTTTTCTAGAGTACTATAATTATTCTTCTAACTGGCCCTTCTGATTCTACTCCTTCTTCCTCTGCAATCAGTTCTCTATATAGAAGCTAGAGTGCTCTTTAAAATATAGAACACAGATCACGCCAAGTTGCCTTCTTGCTTAAGGCCTTCTAATGTGTCCTACTTTACCAAGACTGTTGGTGGAGGGAGGAAGTTGCACTTCTTACTTTGACCATGTGTCTGTCTTCTGTCTGCTTCTTGGCATCAGCTTATACCCTTCCCATTCTCCCTTCTCCAGCCACATTGGTCTTCTCTCTGCTCCTAGAAAATATACCCATCATCCCCATTTTGGGGCCTTTGTAGGTACCAGAACTTTCTTCCCTCAGAGTTTCCTGTGACTGGCTCTTATCATTAACTTTATAACTCAAACATCACCTCTTTAAAGCAATCTCTTTTGCATCTCTAAATCATCTTCATCCCCTCACTTCACTCCTCCTCAGTCTGAAACATCATTCCATTATATTATTACAGGTATAACTTGGACATTTTCCAGGTCATAATTTGTGATTTTACTGTCCACCTCTTCTCTATTCATTTCCTTTCAAAATCTAATGTAAGTGCTGTGGGAGCAGGTGTTTGTCTGTCCTTCTCACTGTTGGATCCCTACATCTGTAATGGTGCATACAAATGTGGGACAAATGTATGAATAAACAAATGAATGAATTTTTACCTTTCAGCTAATTTAAATGACGAAGGTTATGGTGCACAAAGATCCAAATATTCCTCCTCCATGGCATATTGTCAATATAGGAAGAAGCCATTGTCCTTCCCATAGTGGCTATATTGTGCTTTTCTTCTTCACTTCCTGTCATGTTCTTAGCACTGGGGAGTTCTAAAGAGAAGGAGAAGGCTTAGCTATGGTTCATAAAGAAAAGTTATCTTCCTTCAGAGGACAAGGAACATTTAATTGGAGAACAACCTGAGGCGCCAGGATTTACTGGGTTGGATGGAATCAAGGATAAAATGTTTGGACTAGACTAATGGTCCCCAAACACTGGCCAAATCCATCAGGATCCCTGAGGGGGATCATGAACTATGTGGTTTTAAGGGTCTTACCATTGCAAATTAAGATTTGGGGAGTCTGAAGTGGGGCTCAGGAATCAAAATTCTTATAAAAGTTTCCCATGGGATTCTGGTGATTGGCTGGGGTTGGGAATGTCTGGTCTATCTAAGCCAGGAGTCTTGGGATGTCTAGGCCTGGAGTCTTGGAGTGAGCTAGCTCTTGTCTGGCTGGAGTGGGATTTGGGGTAAGGAACAAGTTCAGGCCAGGTGAGAACTGGGAGACAGGAGGACACAGAGCTTAGAGAGGAGAACAGAGGCTGTCAGCCAATGATGTCTTTCTCTCTGCCCTCCAGTGGCCCGGTACCGTGTGACTGTGTGCACAGGGGAACTTGAAGGTGCAGGGACTGATGCCAACGTCTATCTCTGCCTTTTTGGCGATGTGGGAGACACGGGGGAGCGGCTGCTGTACAACTGCAGGAATAACACCGACCTGTTTGAGAAGGGCAATGTAAGTTGCAGTCATGTGCCATCCCTCCCCACCCCTGCTCCAGTCCCCTACCTTGTTCCTTTATCTTCTCTGCTCTTTTATAGTAGAGCGGATGGCTGATGTCAGGACATCAGCCATCAGATAGCCTCTCTGTGGGTCAGGAGAGTGGGGGACTGCAAAGTCCTGGCAGGAGCTACTGGAGGAACATGGCAGTACTTGGTTTACGTGGCACCTGAGTATTTGGCCTACTGTGATTCACTAACGTATGGCACGTACAAGGCTCTTAGAACTGTGCAGCTAGGAGCTGTAGAGCCATCCTAGAGGGGCCATGGTCTCCTCCCCACCCTGGAGCTTTGAGACAGGGTGGGGGAGGGGAAGGCTGCTGCTGGGCATCTTAAGTGTACACTAGAGGATCCAGGCTGGTGGAAATCTGGGCATCTGAGGGCCAACAAGGGAACTTTGCATTCCCCAGTAGGCATCACCACCGAGGGCAGCTTGTTCCTGTCCTCTGTGAAAGAAAAAACAAGAAAGACAGTAAATATGGTTGTAGGAGAACTAGGACCTGTTGCTGTCCTCACTGCAAATGTGCTATGTAGACCCCTCTGTTACCGTAACGACTGAGTGACTTTATTGTGAAGGCCTTGTGGAGCAATGGGAAAGGAGTGAGGCAGATCTAGGGCAAAACCAGCCACTCCACTTACCTGCACCTCAGTTTCCTTATGTCTAAAATGCGGAAAGAATGCCTCTCTGTGGTTGGCTGATGTGAAGATTAGGGAAGGCTGATGTACTGCTCTGGGGTCAGATGAGGGCCACAGCACACAGTAGGTGCTTAGTAGAGAGTCATTGCTGCAATGCAGTAAGGTTTGGGGGGGTGGTCAGAGGTGAAGAAAATTTGCAGATTGCATTGCTGTCACCTTCCTCCACCATCCCTTCCTTGGTGAGACCAGGGTGAGCCTTGGAATGCAAGTGGAGGACTCTCTCTGAGCCATCCAAGCTTGCCTGGTTCTTAGGTCTCATGGGTATTTGAGAGCAGCAACATCAAAGGTCACCTGAGCAGGACATTCTGGGTGGGCTCGGGTGCGTGTGGAGAAAGGAGGTGGGGCCACTTTCACATATACTTTGTATTTCGTTTCTCCTTCCCACCTCCCTTTTTCTCTGTGTTTTCCTACTCTTTTCTTCCTACATCTTCTTGTACCTTTGCCCATCATGCCAACCCTCCTTGTTCGTCCCTGGAGACCCCAGGTTTGCTCAGACTTGAAACTCTCTAACCCCAATTGCATTTTTGCTGTCTCAGTAGCAAGCAAAACTGCAAAGTTAGGAAGATGCTGGGTCCCCCCCAGGCAATTCTAATCATTCCCCACTCCCAAAAGGGGCTGCTGTCCCTCCATCACAAGGAGCCAGAAGCGATTAGCCAAGGGGTTAATTCACGATACATAAATGACTAGTGGCCGACAGCACCTTCACATGTTCATACTCCCAGAGGAGGCTGCTTTTTTAAAAAGGAGCTCTCAGGGGCAGGACATGGTAGAGCATACTTGTAATTCCCAGAAACCTGGCAGGTAGAGGCAGGACGATAGAGAGTTCAAGACTAGCCCAGGCAAAGATAGTGGCAAGACTCTGTCTCCAAAAAGAGGCAGAGGGGCTGGGGATTTAGCTCCAGTGATAGAATACTTGGCTAGCACGTACAAGACACTGAGTTCAATCCACAGCACCAATAAATACATAAACAAATAAAGGAAATCATAGATAATAGCCATTGTTTAACAAAGATGCAGACCTCAAATTTTGCGAACTTGACACTGAATGATATTCCAGTGGGAGAGACTGGGAATAGGGAGCAGACTATTCTCTGTGGTGGCCCCTGTCACACCTGTGAGGACAAGGAACTTAGGCTATCAGCTCTGACTTTTCTAATTTCTGGGTGTTTGTCTACCATTGGCATTTGGGTCCTAGGGTAGCCACCATCCAGCTGACCTTGCCGTCTTTCCTTCCCTGAAGGCTGATGAGTTCACCATTGAGTCTGTCACCATGAGAAAGGTGAGGCGGGTGAGAATCAGACATGATGGCAAAGGCTCAGGCAGTGGCTGGTATCTGGACCGGGTACTGGTGAGAGAAGAGGGGCAACCCGAGAGTGACAACGTGGAGTTCCCATGTCTCAGGTATGTGACTCCCTCCTGCTTTAATTTCCTCCAGTTGGGTTGTGGTCCCTGAATTTGGGGAAGATACAACCCTACTATCAGGACCAGTGAGCAAAATAATGGCTTAAGCCTATAGGTGGACTTTGCTGTTGGCACTCAAACCTGAGCCTCACTCATGTCCCACCCTACCCCTGGTGGCACAGGGCATTAAATAGTTGGGTTTATTTAAGTACCAACATGTGTTTTTCTTATGATAAAATTCCACAAGTTGTGAATTTATATGAGAGCTACCTCAGAGAATTAGTTATGTGCCAAATTAAACTTGTGAATCAAAAGTGGAATTTTTTTTGAATAACCTTCCGACCACATCCTCCCTATTAACATCTTTTCAAGGTGACTTTGTTTGCATTGCTTTTCTTCAACTTTAGCGTGAAGAAAAGTTAAATCTTCTTAACCTTTTTTTTTCTAAAGCATTTGGCTCTTTTACATAGCCAGTTTGGACTCCCATTAACATCTAGAAGTCACTGATAGAGACATTTTAGAACAAGGAGCAGGAACAGTGTTTTTGTGCCACCAAGGTGGCCTTTCATATTCACCTGTAGCCACACCTGGGAGGTGCACACAGTATGATTAACCTGGGGTCCTGAGCCCACCCCTACCTTCTTCTTTCTTCACCGGAGATGTTATTTTAACTCCCCTACAACACAAAGCAGGCCTTCTCTGTCAGGATCAGGAAGAGTTTAAGCTATGGTAGGTGGTGTGTGTGTGTGTGTGTGTGTGTGTGTGTGTGTGTGTGTGTGTGTGAGTTGTGTACATACACTCCTGTGAGGCAAGAAAAGTGTCATGAAGTCACCAGCAGACCAATTTATCCATTTAGCAACATCTCACTGCGAAACTAGGCTGGAGCATTTGAGGCTGGAAGAAAACGTCTTTTTTTGGAAATATCTATTAATACCCTGCAAGTATTTAGGTGGAAACGAAAGAACACATCACGGTTTCCTTTTACCTCTGGGGAGGAACAGGGGATGGGTGAGTAGAGGAGAGAAAGGAGAGCAGATGGGATCTTCCAATGACCAAGGGCCTGCTGGCTTCCATCCTTCCCCTCTCTGTGAATGCATGGCCAGGCAACATCCCGGCTGTCACCTCTGCAGTCTCTGTGACTGTAGGAGTTGCAAGGTGACCTCAGCAGGACAAAGGGGAGGTCCCAATGAGTCACTTTAAGGGACTCTAGCTAGCAGTTCCTTGTTCCCAAATCCCCTGTTGTTCAATGCCCAGGTTTGCACCAGAGTCTCAATGTTTTTCCAGTGTTCTGGAGTCACAGCTCCAAAGCCCACAGGAGGAAGCAGCTTAGTTGTCTAGCAGTTCAGTGTGGACCAGGAAAGTGAGGGAGAAGGAATGGGGAAACCACGGTGTTCCTTGTTGGATGGTTATTCAGAAAGCCTGAACTGCCTATCAGGAGAGGTTGGGAGGAAGCAGTGCCTTGGTTTCCTTCACAGCAATGTGACCCCAGATTTGTTGCTCTTTCAGGAGGTGCTGGGTTGGGCTGAGAGGACAACACCAAGATAAAAATGAGGAGATACTTTGGTCAAAGGGCAAATGTCTTGGTTTCTGTGCATCTGGAGAAAATTGAACCTTTCTGTTCTTCTGTCCTTGACTTCAAATCACAAACCAGACTGAGTATAGGGGCATAGATATCTGATGCTCGTACCATGGTCTGGTTTTTTATTCTGGACCTCTGTGCTCAGTGGGAAAGGTGTCTTTCAGGTGGTTAGTCCCATGTCTTTCCCCTGGTAGATGACCAGCAAGCTGCTGGGTCCATGGCTCACTGTGACATATCAATGCATGACAGCTATGGAACCCCATCCATGAAACTTCTTTTTGAAGCACCTCTATCTTTGAGGACTCAGATTTAAGCCCCTTTGCCATGAACTCTCCTTTCTCTAAATTCCCATAGAACTTAACTTTGGTCCATCTCTGTCCTCATCTTGGTTCTCAGTGTTACATTCAACCTATTCTGTCTTCTTCACCAGAGGTATGCCTCCGACAGCCTGGGCTGAATCTTACTTATCTTAGTGTCATCTGTCTCTGCCTTCTCCCATCTGGAGACCTCAGCTCAGTGCTATGCACACAGTTGGTGCTAAGATGAAGTGGTATTTTTTGATGATAATGATGACTTTTTACTGTGATTGCCACAGCCCGATATCCTGTGACCTGTCCCCTCCAGCTTTACTGGCCAGCACTCCGCCCTTGCTTGCTGTATTCTGTCCACATGGGCTTCTATACTAGAACATGTTGTTTCTTCTGGGATGTTCCTCCTTCTTCTCCTGGTCATCTCCTTACTCTCCTGCCAATCTCAGGCAGCTGTCTCCCCCTTGGGAAGTTCTCCTGGCCTAGTCCAGGTTGGGTTGCTTTGCTAAGAGCTCCTGAACACTCACTTTCCTGTACTGAAGTCAAAGCTCTGGACTGCCCTGGTGACTCTTTATGAATAGTGTGATATTTGGGGTGTCTACCTGCCTTAATCAAAGAGTTAACATCCCCTGTTTGCCCACCAGGTGGCTGGACAAGGATAAGGATGACGGGCAGCTGGTCCGAGAGTTGCTGCCCAGTGACAGCAATGCCACACTCAAGAGTGAGTCATCTTGCTGAGCAGGTGGTGGGTGTGTCTTTGGTAGGACAGATGCTTTCCCTCAGCTAAATGGGAGTGGAACACTTCAAAAAAAAAAACCAACACATATTTTTCACTTCATTTCCTGGAGGCAGCACTGGAGAGTTAGACAGGAGAGGCCCTGAGAGAGGTCTAGAAACTTCTGTGTGTCTGTGCTTGCGCACACAGTCTCTGTGTGGCCATGGCTCTGATCTCCTGTCAACAGATTAATAATAACAACACCACCAGCTAATGGTGTCAACTGTAAGGGTTGTTCCTTTGTGGGGAGAAACACAGTTTGAAGGGACTGTAAAATGAAGATTTAAAAAAATTCTGAGTATTATCCTGGAGGCCTCATAGTTTTTCTTATGTAGTATTTCTTCACATACTATGGTTTGATCATGATCTTTGAACAAAATTTAGAATAATACCAGCACCTCATATTTACCATTTCCATCTCATTTGAGCCCTGCAGTAGCCTAGAAAGGGGGCCAAGCTTAGGTTGTTCAGCAAGATGGGGAAACTGAGGTCTGGAGGAGCGAGGTATTTATATCTGACCTTTCCTAAGATCAGATTGCAGGGCTGGAACTAGAGAGTCTAGTGTCTGGGTCCAGGATCACAGAACTTAAGAGCAGGAAGGACCTCAGGAGAGAAAGTAACCCACATCTGTGGTAAGGGGACACGCTCACTCCCAGAACATCCAGGTCAGTGGCTGGGAACAAAGCTAGGATCAGGTCCCAGTGTGTCTCTGTCTTATGTCATTATTTTTCCCATTCCAACAGGGTCCTGCCTTCCCATGTGGACAGGGCCCCACCCCGCTTTACCAGTCACTACTTTTGAAAGGGTTTAGATGGAAACTGGTATAAGGAAGAGTAGTTCCTGCTGGATCTTTTAGCAGCAAGGACAGAGCTAGCTCCTCAAGTGCTCTTGGATGTCTCTGGTGGAGCCCAGGCTGGGCTAGGTGTGCTCAGTTCACTTTTCCCAGATTTATCTACCCAGTGGGAAGACCCTAAAGGAGCATCCCTTACCTCTCACTGCGTCCTCTCCTTTGCCTTGAAACCAGCCTGCAGGACTTTGGATCTTGGCTCATGTTATCTCAGGGTTTGACTTTTCCTCCAGTGTTCTTATTCTTGCACACGGACAACGTAGACTTTTCTGGGTAAGGAAATGGATTGCCATCCACCTGGTGTCCATTTAACAGCAGGGGCCTTTAGGTCCATATTAGGATTTCTCTCCTGACTGGTGACTTCTTTTACTTATTTTTTTTGACAGCACTGGGGTTTAAACTCAGGGTCTTACATGTATTCTACCACTTGAGCCATGCCCTCAGCCCTTTATGCTTTAGTTATTTTTCTGATAGGGTCTCATGCTTTTTGCTGAGGGCCAGCCTCTGACCACAATCCTCCTACCTATACTTCTTGTGTAGCTGGGATTACAGGTATGTACAACACATCTGATCCCTGGCTAGTGACTTCTTAACTACCACCAAATGTATGTCCTTCTGAGCCTCAGATCCCTTGTCTATAAAACCAGGTTCAGAATACTTCACAAATAATACCATGTGTATAATGTGCCAAACACCGTCTAGAAAGGCTGAGTATCCTTTGCCTTGGTTTTCTCATCCATCAGGGGAGAATCTGGATTAGGTGATTGCTAGAGACTCTTTCAGTTCTCTGAAACTTGCTGTTCTTGCCTGCAATTTGCTTTCTTGGTCTCAGCCCATTCACCCCTTACAGATCAGGCAGGGCACCTATTAGAATTCTGACTTTATAGATGGTGGGAAACCATGCCCCAAGTCGCAGGATCCATCACAGATCCAGTTTCTGACTCCCAGCCTACATCCTCCCTGGCTGCAGACTGCTCTTCTACTGGTGCCCAGCTCTTTGCCACGTGACCTCACTAACCTCCTCCTTTCTCCCTCTGTCTCGTACTGCTCAGACTACCGCTATCACATCAGTGTGAAGACTGGGGACCTTTCTGGGGCCAGCACGGATTCTAGGGTCTACATCAAGCTCTATGGGGAAAAATCTGACACCATCAAGCAAGTTCTTCTTGTCTCCGACAACAACCTCAAAGACTATTTTGAACGTGGTCGGGTGGATGAATTCACCCTGGAGACTCTGAACATCGGAACTGTAAGTGTCCTTCCTAAGATCTTGTGACATCATCTCCCTACATACATCCACAAATGTGTCCTCACATGGACACGTGCATACACTCTCATGTACACCTGGGTGAGCCCATTTTGAAGGAAAAGAAATGCCCACTGTCAGGTTGTTAGTGGGGGATGTTGAGAAGTTGAAGAGTGACAGTGGCTAAGCCTCCAGAGCCTCTTTAGGGACAGAATGGATATTTTTAGTAACTTTAACCCCCAACATTTTATTTACATGGCCAAGACCAGTGTGCCTGGATAAGGGGACACGAGATACAAAGAAGAGAAAGAGAAGAGGGAAGGACAGAAAAAAAAAAAGAGCTGAAAATATTTTCCAATTCCAGACTTGGATGTGCATCAGAATTACATCTCAGTGCACACGTCTGTGCAACTCTTGAGAGATGCTACCCTAGGGAGGGAACTCCAGAGTTTTCATCTCTCAGGATTCCATGCAGCCCTGTCATAAGTGGTCTGAACCCTTCACCAAAGATAAAGCTGGCCACTGAAGTGGTAAGGCAGATTAATCAGTAATACATAACAACGGTGAGAAGCCAGAACAAATAGAGCAACTTTGATTTGGGCAGAGGTTTGCAAGTCATTTAAAGGGAGAATGAGGAAATGAGAGGAGGGTGAACTGAGGCCCCATAGAGTCTTGTAGGAAGCAGTAAGGGGGAGGTTGGACCATGTAAAACCCAGCCAAGTTTGACAGTCTGTGCCTATAGTTGTTAGATGCCTACCCTCCCGGAGCCTGGAGACAACCCTTAGGTGTTAGCTGAACTAACAGTGAACTCTTTTGATAGCCTTGAGTTTTCTCAGGTAAAGGGTTTGGGGTTATTCTAGGGATGTGGTCTTGAGATGTTGGAAACTATGTTATTATTTTGTCCAAGTCTTGAGGAGTCTGGTTAGGGTGTGGTCAAGGTGAGACTCTTTCTTAATTTCACCTGGAGAAACACAGGTCTAAACTCTGAACTGGAGCCCTGGGAGATCTCCAAAGATGTCTCTGCTGGGATGTGTGTTACATCCTGCCATTTTCAGGGTGCTGCATGGTGGGAACTGGGGTGGTAACACACCTCAGTCTGCAGCCTCATCTTCCCTTCCCCACTTTTCTCTATGGGCCTCATCCTATTTCAGGTGCTATGGTCCTAGAATTCTCTCCTCCCATCAACATACACTCTAGGGAATGATCTCATGTCTGTTATTTATCCATTGAGGTTAACAAATTTCAGTCAAGGTTTTCCTCGATCAGAATGTATTTACATTTTAAGCTGAATCAATCATTGCAGAATGAAAATGCTGATTCCTTTACTAAAGGATTTAGGGTAGCATCCAGCAGATCAATGAGGGAAAGTCTGAAGGGGGTGGGATGGCAGAAGAAGACCATTGAGCCCTCCTTGTGTTGCTGAAACCCCTTAACAAGCAGTGTGGCTAAGAGGCTGGTGCCAAGCCACACTGCCAACTCCCTGATCTGGGGCCCAACATTTTCACTAACTTGCCATGTGCAAGTTACTTACCCTTGTCTACATCCATTATTTCATTTACAGCAACAGGGTAGGAGAGCCTAATGGGATTGTTATTAGCATTGAATATGTTAATAACACCCATATGCTGGAAGTCAGGGCTAAATATAGGCTTCTCCACCACTCCACCACTCCACCTCGGGTGTGAGGTACTGTAGAACTGAGTGACATCCCTGCCCTTAGGAAGCTTCTAGTCATATCAGACAGAAGGCACCTGCCCCTGTCTTTACTCTTTTAGCTGACCTCTCCCCAGGACTGTGACACTCTCCTCTGTGCTTGGCATACACCCAAAGGGCTCTTGAGCTTTGTAAATTTAACTGGCTTCTTTCTGGCCATTTGAGGCTCCATGCACTAAGCCGTGACAGTGTTGGTACAAAGAGGCACTTATTAGTTAGAAGAGCAGGGCTTGAGTGGACAATTTTCTAAATCTGGACTTTGGGCACTGGACATGACTAGTGTCATCACACAGAGACTATCAGGGCTGAAAGTATTCTTCAAGGCCATCTGATAATTCCATCTGATGTTTAAATTGCCCTGTATGCAGCATTTCCACAAAACATAAAAGCAATCTGAACATTGAAAAGCCAAGTACAAATAATGATGCTGATAGGACTGTGTTCTCATCAGTCTTGCCTACAGGCAAAAACACCATCATGTCAAATAGCAAGGCAAGTGGCTGTGGAGGGTTTTTGGAAAAAGAACAATGTTCCCTGGGTCCAAGAATGAGAGGAGGAACCAGACACAGAACCACAGAGCCCTGGGAGGCTGTCTGCATATTCTGTCACCTCAGGATGGAAATGTTAAGGAAGAAATGTGTACAATAGTGTATTATTTAAAATCAAACAAAACAAAATCGACAACACAGCTATCAGAAGGCTACAGAGACGTGTGGAGTGTTTGATTTCTTGTGCAGGCACAACCTCACATTTTAAAATACTTAATGGAGTTTTCAAAGTTTATGCCACATCTGCTCCCCACTTGCTTCCCAGAGATGTTTGGGGAGGCCAGCTAGATAAGGAGGGGATGGAGGCCCCAGGCAGGAGAGGACCATGAAAGTAGGAGGTCCTCCAGCTGGCTGATGGCAGGGACAGGCCTGGGACACAGTGTCACTTGCATAGCCTCTCCTCTGGGGAACTGTAGGCACTGGTTGAGGGGAGTTGTTTGAGCTGGTGCCCAGGGAGATGGCAATGGGAGCTTGTAAGTTTCTGCACCTTTTGCATACCCTCTCTGGGTGTCAGGGTTTGAATGTGAAACGTCCCCCACAGGATTATGTGTCAGGGGCTTTGTTGCCAGCTGATGGGCTTTGGGGAAGAGATTGGATCTTGAGGGCTCTGACCTCATCAATAGATTAATCCCTCCATGGATTCATAAAATGATAGAATTATTGGGAGGCGGTGGGAAGTAAGAAGTGGAGCCTGGGTAGAGGAAGTGGGTCATTCTGAGTCAGGTCTTTGGGAACTTTATCTTGCCCTGGCCTCTTCCTTACATTCATGTCTTCCAAGAATGAAATAGCTCTACTCCACCATATCCTCTGGCTCATGATGGACTGTAACCTCTGAAACCACAAACCAAAATCAATCCTCTCCCCTTAAGTTGGTTTGTCACAGCAACACAAGTCTGGCTAACACATCTGGATTTCCTTTCAGATCATCCGGCTGGTGATTGGGCACGACAGCACAGGCATGCATGCAGGTTGGTTCCTGGGAAGCGTCCAGATCCGTGTGCCCCGCCAAGGCAAGCAATACACCTTCCCTGCCAACCGCTGGCTGGACAAGAACCAGGCCGATGGACGTCTGGAGGTGGAGCTTTACCCCAGTGAGGTCGTGGAGATCCAGAAACGTATGGAGGGGGCTGGGTGGGGTCATCAGCATTGATATTCTTGTGTGATGGGACTGTGGGGAAGGAGGAGGGACCATGGCACCTGGGTCTTGTCTCCAAGTGCTGGGAGGAGAGGGGTCCCTGTGGTTAGATAATGGGGGTTTCCACTTGATTCTGTGACCATGGTTCTTGGAGGCAATAAGGGCTCATTTTACAGATGGAGAAGCTGAGGACTCAGTGGATGGACTGTTTTTTCTGGGATAAAGGCAGCACATTCTCAACCCTTGGAGAAGGGGTTAAGACATAGTCCATGTCTTCCCCTGGGAAAGCTGGCTGAGGAGATAAAACTTTTCACTCATTTAGTCAGTAAATATCTACTGAGTTTTCTCCATGCCAGCTCCGTCCTGGGCTTGATGGAGGCAGACGTAAGCAAAGCAGACCAAACCCTTGCCCTTGTGGGCTTTACGTTCCACCAGGGGACAGGAATAGAAAAGCAAATGCCAAGCAAGAGGTCTGAAGAAAATGAAGCAGGTGAGGGATTGGCAGTGGGGTGTGTGGAGGAGTCTTGTGGCTGGGGGAGGGACTTTTAGCTGAAGGTCACGGTGGGTGAGAGACTCCTGAGGTTATCTAGAGGGCAGGGAGACAGTGGGGCCAGGGCCTGACGGGGGAATGTCCCTTCTCTTGTCTCTGCATGTCTACATTCACCCTGAGAGCAGTACCCTCGGCTCACTTCCAGGAAGCTTTTTGAGAAGAATCCCAAGGCTAAGGTAGCTTTCACCCGCTAGGACACTTCCTTTTTCTGTATACCTTTCATCTCCCCAGCCTACCCCGAAGTCCCTCAAGGGCTGTGGCATACACACATGCTTGGTAATAGCACCTGCCAATGTGAGAATCGACCTCTCTCTTTTATGGACTTTGATTTCCTAAGTCAAGAAGATAAACAGTAGTTCAGGATAAAGATAAAAACTACAGTAGTTTTTCACCTTCCCCTCATTATTCAGAGGTAACAACTTGGAATTACTTTAAGTTGTTCTTCTGAAATTTTGCTCAGCACTTTTTAATAATATGCTTATCTATTTTTTTATTTTTCAGTTTTAGACATTATCCATTGATGTCCTTTTATGGGAGAGGAGGATTTAGCTTGTTTAAAACACACACACACACACATGCACATGCTTGCACACACACATGTGCACACATATACATACTTCCCCTCCTTCCAGTCTTCAATGTAATTAAACCCATATTCAATTTTTACACTATTATGACTCTGTAAATAGTATTTGCTGCTGCTGAGTTCCCTGCCGTATGAAGGTTATATTTCATTTTCGCTCAATTTCTTGTTTCTTTGTAGACTTACTAGAAACATCATTTTTTTTTTTTGAAAAATTAGTGTCTTTTTCTCTGTACCATCACTAATTGTATTAGTCTGCTGGGGCTGCCATTACAAAATAGCTCTTCTTGAGTCAGCTCACACCTGTAATCCTAGCTACTTGGGAGGCTGAGATCTGAAGGATTACAGTTTAAGGCCAAGCAGGGAGCGGGGAGGGGGGCGTCGGTTGAAGTTCACAAGACCCCATCACAACCAATAGCTGGGCACAGTGGAACATGTCTGTCATCCCAAGCTACATGGGAAGCTGAGATTGGGAGGACTGTGATCCAGGATGGCTAGGCAAAAAGTGAGACCCTATCTCCAAAATAAGCAGAGCAAAAGGATTGGAGACATGGCTCAAACAGTAGAGTGCCTGCTTGGTAAGCACAAAGCCCTGAGTTCAAACCCCACCCCCCCAAAAAAAAAGCTTTCCTCGGCATATAGATGGCCACCTTCTTGCTGTGTGGCCTCATGGTCTCTTCTCATGCGCACACATGAGTATTTCTCTGTGTATCCAAATTTCCTCCTCCTTTTTTCCTCCTTCTTCTTCCTCTTCCTCCTCTTCCTTCTTCTTTCTTCTTTTTTTTTCAAGGTACTGGAGATTGAGCCCAGGCCTTACCAATACTAGGTAAGTGTTCTACCACTTGAACTATACGTCCAGCCTCCCACCCTTTTTATTTTGTGTTTGAGACAGGCTCTCATTACCTTTGTCTGGGCTGGCTTTGAACTCACACTCCTCCTATCTCTGCCTCCTGCATTGCTGGGATCACAGGCATGTACCACCACATTTGGCTTGAATTTTCCCTTCTTAAAAAGACACCAGTCACATGGAATTAGAGTCCACTTGAATCCAATGAGAGTCTTATTTAAACTTAATCACCTTTTTAAAAGTCCTGTCTCCCAATAGTCTGAGGTGCATAAGATTGGGGGTTGTAATTCAACCCACAACTCCATCTTATCTCCAGATCTCTAATAGAACTAAAGTTCTTTCCATCTGTTCAAAGTCGGTGGTCCTCCTCCTCTTCCTCTGCTCTCCAAGATGTCCCTTTGGTGCCTTCTGTCCTTCTGCTCTAGGACTAGCTGCCATGCAGCTGTCCTTTGGGGACTTGCTTCTTTACCATCTTTTTGAAAATTCCTTCCTTTTTTCTCCCGGACCAGATCTCCCATTTCTTGGACTCCATGTCTCCCTCTTTGGTTTATTCCCTACTTGAGCAGAGCGCATGTTCTCTGCTGGCAGCTTCCTGACAAAGGTACATGGAAGAACACTGGTGTGTCTGCATATGTCTTTCGTCAGCTCTTACAATCAATTCATAGGTTGGCTTGTTACAGAATTCGAATTAGAACTACTTTTCCTTAGAGTTTAGAAAGAATCGTTCTAGCCCCCAGAGCTGTAGGTCTGATGCCATTCTGTTATCCAACTCTGTTTTGTTCTCTGAAAGCTTGTGGGATTTCATCTTCATCTCTGCCATTGAGATTGCATGATGCTTTCACTTCACTGCCTTTGTGATTTCACATGTTCTGGAAACTGCTGGACTCCTTTGGTCCAGAAGCATTTTTGTTTTTTAGTTTTTTTCGATTATTTCTCTGACAATTTCCAACTCTGTTTCCTCTAAAATTCAATCTTTAGATATTGGGCTTTCCTCTGGTTTTCTTACCTTTTCTCTGTCATTTGTCTTTTGGGGGATGGAGGGACTAGGGTTTGAACTCAGGGCCTGTGCTTGTTAGGCACATGATTATGACTTGAGCCACAATCTTAGCCCTTTCACTTTAGTTTATTTTTCACACAGAGTCTTGTGCTTTTTCCTGGACCAACCTCGGACCTCAATTTTCCTACCTCCAACTCCTAAGTAGCTGGGATTACAGATGTGTATCACTATGCCCAGCCCTCATTTGTCTCTATGATCTTGGAGAATTTCCTTTTTTGCTTTTAGGAAATGTCCTTGATTGTACCCTGGCTATTGATCATTTTATTTCAGGTCACCATATTTTAATTCCCAATAACTCATTTTTGTTCTCTGAATGTTCATTGTCCTCCTTCCTTATTTTATAGAATCATGACTGCCTATCGTGCTGACATCTGAGGGTGGGGGGGAGGCTAGGGAGTTGGGAATTCTCTCTGTAGGGATTGCCAGCTGTTACTGAAGCTGTGTACCCCACCAGCATCGATCTTAGCTGAGCCTACTGCTGCCTGTTCAACCTCTTCAGGCTCTCAGCCAGTCCTCATATTTTCAGCCCTTAATTCTCTGCTGGGGGAATGGAAGATCCTCTTACTGAAAGTAACTATCTTCACTTCAGAAGAAATCATAATATTATCTTATAGAATTGCCAAGAGGGCAAGTCGTGTAATAGTCACATTGACAGGCAATGTGGTGACTTAGTTCTTCTGGGAGACACTTGACACTCCATTAGGAAGTGCCTTCTACTGGTGAGTACCTGTAACTCATTTTCACCCTCTACTACCTTGACAAGTATTGCTTCAAAATATGCACCACTCTTTGTGCAAATGAATGTGTTGACATCATCTGAAAGATACCTATATTTAAATGAGAACTACTATCTTTCCAATCCTTTGTCCTTTACTGAAAAGAAGGAAAAGAAGCAAATGCCTTTTACTTCTTTCTGCCCCAGGGTAGTATCTTAGATTTTTTTCGATGTTGTTCTTGCTGTTATAGCAGAATAACTCAAACTTGGTAATGTATAGTGATCAGAAATTTATTGGCTCTAAGTTCTGGAGGCTGGCAAGTCCAATATCAAGGTGCCAGCGTCTGGTGAAGGCTTTCTTGCTGTTTTGTTACATGGCGGGAAGTGGGAAGGTGAGAGAGAAGGGGGTGGGTAAAGTCACTCTTTATTTTTTTTTTCTTTTTTTTTTTTCATTTTTCTTTTATTATTCATATGTGCATACAAGGCTTGGTTTATTTCTCCCCCCTGCCCCCACCCCCTCCCTTACCACCCACTCCACCCCCTCCCACTCCCCCCCTCAATACCCAGCAGAAACTATTTTGCCCTTATCTCTAATTTTGTTGTAGAGAGAGTATAAGCAATAATAGGAAGGAACAAGGGGTTTTGCTGGTTGAGATAAGGATAGCTATACAGGGCATTGACTCACATTGATTTCCTGTGCGTGGGTGTTACCTTCTAGGTTAATTCTTTTTAATCTAACCTTTTCTCTAGTTCCTGGTCCCCTTTTCCTATTGGCCTCAGTTGCTTTAAGGTATCTGCTTTAGTTTCTCTGCATTAAGGGCAACAAATGCTAGCTAGTTTTTTAGGTGTCTTACCTATCCTCACCCCTCCCTTGTGTGCTCTCGCTTTTATCATGTGCTCAAAGTCCAATCCCCTTGTTGTGTGTGCCCTTGATCTAATGTCCACATATGAGGGAGAACATACGATTTTTGGTCTTTTGAGCCAGGCTAACCTCACTCAGAATGATGTTCTCCAATTCCATCCATTTACCAGCGAATGATAACATTTTGTTCTTCTTCATGGCTGCATAAAATTCCATTGTGTATAGATACCACATTTTCTTAATCCATTCGTCAGTGCTGGGGCATCTTGGCTGTTTCCATAACTAAAGTCACTCTTTATAACAGCATTAATTCCATCCACAAAGGAAGGCCCAGCTTCTTACAATGACAAATTTCAGCATGGGTTTTGGAGAGCCAAAGATTCAAACCATAGTAGGTAGGAAGACAGCATGGAGTCCCAGCTGGCACATTAAGTTCTCATTCCTGGTACTTAAGGACACATGTGGTGCAATGGATGACTGGACTCTGGATTCTGATTGCTTAGGTTTGCCATTTTCACCACCTGCTCAATTCCTCTAAGCTTCAGTTTGTCCATCTGCAAAATGGGAATGATGGTACTTTCTCATGGTGTTAGAAAAGATGGTGCCTGTGAAGCACCGGGTGCGTGGAAAAGGCTCTAGAAATGCTTGCTTTGCTGCCATCATTGTTATTATTATTGAGTGTTCCATTTCTCCCTCATGTGCTCCCTCCCAGTGGTCCACTACGAGGTTGAGATTTGGACAGGGGATGTGGGAGGTGCAGGCACCACTTCCCGAGTCTACCTGCAGATCTATGGGGAGGAAGGCAAGACTGAAGTGCTTTTCCTCTCCAGCCGCTCCAAAGTTTTTGACCGGGCATCCAAGGATACATTCCAGGTGAGTGTGGGTGAGACAGTAGGCATGCAACAGAGGTCCAGTGGATGCCAAGATGGTGCCTTGGATGATCTTATTTCTCATTAGAGAATGGTCCACCTCCCTCCAGCTGGGCAGGAGATGCTGCCTGAGGACAGGTTGAATCAGGGTACCCTTGGCTTATGAGGGTGGGGGAGTTCCTGGGAGCAGCTTCAAAACTATAAGCAAAGGTATATAATTTTGAAGACCTGGATGCTTGACCAAGTTCTACCTTGTGGACTTGGAAAGTAACCCCTGAGTTTTGGGCCTTAAATGAAGAGACTGAGCTACACCAGGGGTTCTCACCCCTAGTGTCATGTTTAAATCACCTGGGGATCTTTAAGAGAAAGTGCTGCCTAGCCACACCCCTGACTAGGCAAATCAGTCTCTGAAGTAGGATGTGCTTTCTGGTATGTGTTTCTTTTAAAAGTCCTACCAGTGCTATGAACACATTGCTGATTCCGAGACCCTCTGGAGGGGGTTATTCTCATTTAGCCAAAACTGGCAATGGAGCCAGGTCCTCCCATGTACTCCTCAGCCTGTGGCTTCTGACTCCCGGGCCTGGTGGGAGGTGGTGGCACTTCATACTGGATTCTGAGTGCCCCAGGCCTCCTGCCTTTCCTTTGTAAGTCTTTGTATAAAAAGAAGAAAGATGTGAGTGTGAGCAGCTGTTGGCAGGACAGGAGGATGTCAGGGGGGTGCCTGTGAGGGACACATGAGCGTTTTGTGTTGGACACAAGAGCATGTGTGTACATGTGCGTGCATGCACATGTGTGCTAACTGCACGCATGTGTGTGCAAGGACCTTCTCATGCTGGGTGCTCTGTGTATTTGTGTGCCATAAGCCCCTCGGCCTTCAGCAAACAACCCTTCCCCGTTCCCCAGAGGAGAAGGTCCTGGCTGAGCTGGGGCCAAGGCAGGGGCACAGTGTTTGGAGCACAGAGCTGGAGGGGCCTCAGACCCTGCAGACAAGAATGAGTCCCCTGTATTTGACCTCTTGGAGCTTTAGCTTTTTCCTGGCCATCTTCACAGTCCTGGCAATGATCAGAAAAATAAATGTCAAAGAATGCTTTTGGGAGACTATGGCCACTGAAGGAGATGTGACAGCAGGGCACCTGCCAGAGGTCAGCTGACCAGTTCAGTAGATGCAAGCCTGGCTGGCAGGCAGATACAAAGATACAGGGTGGCAAGCAAGCCTCCGGGGGCAAGGTGGTCATCAGGACCATGTCCTAGGAAGTGCTGATGACATGACTCATCAGACCTAGTCCCTATCCCTAAGTAGCTGAGAAGAATAAATTCTGCTTTCCCTGGGCCTGGCTCCATCTTGCCTGGTAATTTTATCATAAAAGTGGTTTGGCCTCATTATGGATTCATAATTAGGAGGTCAGGAGACCTGTGTTCACACCTAGGCCTGGAATCAAATCACGGGACACTAACTACAGGACAGGTCTGGGCCTCAGTTTCCCCTGCCACTCAAGTGGGATAACTAGTGGGACTGGGCTTTGAGAAGGGCCAACGCACTAGTGGCTCATCAGTTTCAAGACACCTAAGAGCCCTAGTAGCAAGGACCCTGTGTGAACTTCCCCCAAGGTGTGCAGGGACCAGACTTCGTCACAGCACAGGTCCTTCCTGAGAACGCTGGGCATAAGACAGAATGACAATGTAACCTGATGCTGAGGAATCCATCCACACTGTGCTTTGAGTCAATGTGTACCTTGTCCAGTAGGGAAAAACACAAATTGATGGTCTTTGCCAGTAAGGAACACACAACTGGAGAAAACAAACAGGTCATCCAGGCCAGGTCAGGCTAGGCCAGGCTAGGACCTGGCTCTGGAAAGGGGCAGGCTGGCAAGCCAAGGCTGTATTCAGGAGGTGCCTGGGGTTTCCAATGACATTTTTGGTTTAAAACAATACTTTTTTTTGCTTATTACAAAAGTTATATCTGCTTAATACTGAATATATTTGGAGGAAGAAAACAGGCACAAGGATTAATAGGAATGAGTGTGTGTGTGTGTGTTGAGAGAAAGCAATAAGGAGACCAACTTGGTCACCACAGGGTTAGGAGGAAATAGGTTTGGGTGTGGCCAGGGCCAGACTGGGTATGGTGGGACAGAGGGAGCCTTAGAAGCTTCTGAACGTGGGTGCGAGGCTTCTCCACACTGCAGCTCGGCACCACAGCCAGTGCCTGGCTCCACGGGGAAGGTGGGGCGATGCCAGGGCCACCCCAGCCACTGCCCTGCGCTTTGCACAGCTGGAGGCAGCGGACGTGGGTGAGATCTACAAGATCCGGCTGGGGCACACGGGCGAGGGCTTCGGGCCCAGCTGGTTCGTGGACACCGTGTGGCTGCGGCACCTGGTGGTGCGGGAGGAGGACCTCACACCCGAGCAGGAGGCCCGGAAGAAGAAGGAGAAGGACAAACTGCGCCAGCTGCTCAAGAAGGAGCGGTTGAAGGCTAAGCTGCAGAGGAAGAAGAAGAAGAAACGGAAGGGCAGTGATGAGGAGGAGGAGGGCTCCGAGGAGGAGGAGGAGGAGTCCTCGTCGGAGGTGTCTTCCTCAGAAGAGGAGGAGGAGGAGACCGAGGAGGAAGAGGAAGAGGAGGAGTTTGGGCCGGGGATGCAGGAGGTGATTGAGCAGTACAAGTTCGAAGCCCACCGCTGGCTGGCCCGGGGAAAGGAGGACAATGAACTTGTCGTGGAGCTGGTGCCAGCAGGCCGACAGGGTCCTGAGCGTAAGCCTGAGGAGGGGCCACAAGTCCCCAAAAGGGACTAGGGAGGAGGTGGGGTGACTCTCTGTAGGCAAATAGGTGGGAACCCATCATGGTTCCCAAATGGCTCTTCTGATCTGCGGGCTGAAAAGCCACCATTGACTGTTCTGTTTAGGGCCAAGCATTGCCCTTATCCCAAGGCTCTCAGGAAGAAATGATGCCTTTGGGAGGTGTTTTAATACAACTGAGTGTGACTAAATGTGGAGAACAAAAGGTAGGAGGGTGGCTGAAGCCAAATGATGCTCTTGGTTTCATGATGAAGGCAAGTTGTGGTGGGGGGAGGGGCAAGTTCAGTGCCAGGTTGGTGTGGACTTATCCATAGATCCTTCCTGCTCCAAGGATCTGCTTGGACTTGAGGGGCTGGGCCTCAGATCCATCTCACACCCTGGTGTCTTCAATGCTGCATCTTTTTGTGTCCCCAGCCAACACCTATGAGGTCCAGGTGATCACAGGAAAAGTGCCCAAGGCTGGCACTGATGCCAATGTCTTCCTGACCATCTATGGTGAGGAGTATGGGGACACAGGCGAGCGGCCCCTGAAGAAGTCAGACAAGTCCAACAAGTTTGAGCAGGGTCAGGTAGAGTGAGGGCTCTCCTGGGTGGGAGGGTGGACTGTGACATGCGGCATGGTGACCTCTGATGGTTCCTATCACAGCCCCACCCAGCACAGTATCCACTGTGTCTGACAAGGTGCTTCATTTAATCCAGCGAGGTCTGATGGCAGGGCCTCTTCTGTAACCATCAGTGCTTTGTGCTCGTGGGACAAAAAATAGTACAGGTGGGTTTCCTCATGGAGCCCACAGGCTAGCTGACATTCAGGAAGCACCAGAGAATAGTATTTGGCAGCAGGCACTGAGGGGCTGAGCTGGGGGCACTCACTTTTTGATGGCACCTTGGGGAGTATAGATATAGAGGACAGTGAGATACGTTTGCAGAAGGCAGAACTGCATGACAAGAGATACAGGTGAACCACGGCAGAAGGCCAGCCTGACAGTGCCTCCCTCACTTAGCTGTGGCTGGTGCTGCTGAGTGGTGAATGAGCTTGGATAAAACCAAGCAGTGCTTGGGATGGGTGGGACCATGACTTGGAAAGACAGATTGAGAAGGCCGAACTGCCTCCTGAGGCAGTGGAAACCTCTGAAGTGCATACACCTCACTCTTCCATATTTAGAGGGAAAAATGTGAAAAATAAAGCTGTCATTTTATCCTTTGAGATTTTACAAAATCCCTTACCCACTCTCTCACCTTTTCCATTCCTGCCCCATTCCAAAACCAGGTTCCCTCATCAATGCAGAAGAAAAGCAATAAGCCAAATCCATTAAAGTACTTTAGGGCTCATCGCTTGCCTTCTTTCCAGGCCCCCTGCATTTTTTTTTTCAGTGCTCCCTTCCATGAGTTGAGCAGGATTTGATTCTGCCTTAGTGCTCTGCTTGAAAAAAAATTATAACCACCATATTCCTGGATTGGAGGAGAATTGCTATATAGGACAAAACTGGTATAACTGGTGAAATTTGAATCTGGATTACATATTAAATAATAGTACAGCCTCATGTCCCAAAATGACATTTTAATCAACAATGAATGCATACAGGAGGTTGGTCCCATAAGATTCCATCACCTAGTGACATGGTAGCCATCTTAGTTTTTGTAAATATACCCTGTGATGTCACATAATACCAAAAAAAAACCAATTTGTGATATATTTCTCAGAACATCTCCCCATCATTAAGTAACCCAGGACTGTATTGTGTTATGTCAAGTTTCCTAAATTTGGCCATTGCACTATGATCATATGAAAAGGTCCTTGTTATTATGAAATCATACTGAAGTAGTTACTGGTGAAGGATCATGGTATATGATACTTACTTTCAACTGATCCAGAAAAAAAGTAGAGAGAGATAAAGAGAAAGAAAGCAAGACAGAGAAGAGAGAGTAATTCAGTAAATCTTGCACACAAATACAGAAATTAAATGAAAGTGTGCAAACTTTCATTGTACTACTTCTGTACATTTTTTTAAAGATTTAAAAGTATTTTTCAAGATAAAGAGTCAAAAAAGGTATAGCCAGAAAACCCCATCCCATTCACTTATAGGGTCCTGTTGTCTGTTTCCTCCAGGGTATATGACAGCCCACAGATGTATATGGCTCACATTCCATTTTCCCACCTAAGTGGGGACCAAATCCAAGTCTTCTGTTTCTGTCAGTCACTGTGGATTTGCACAGGACTGGTGTATAGCAGGTGTTTGATAAAACTTGTGGTTGAAGGAGATTGTACACACAAGCACAAGGTCTGAGTGTGTCCTCCCCCTATAAATACGGGCATTCAGCCAACTGTCTTCTCCTTTGCCACTCTCTCAAGGTCACGTTCACTTCCTTCTCTCTCCACCTCCCTGGATACAATGAGAATGAGAGGATCCCCTGGTAGGGGGCAGGTTAAAAAAATAGTGTGGAACAAGTGCCGGACTATTGAACTGATTTTCCATCATCCCACCCCGGTTGCTTTGGGTCTTACTGTCCACCTCAGGGTACTTGGGTCCTTAGGAGGATAGAGTTGATGGCAAGGGGAGGAGGGGGCAGGTTTCACCCCTCTGAGTGCTTCTTTCACTCTTCCTAGACCGACACCTTCACCATTTATGCCATTGACCTGGGGGCTTTGACCAAGATTCGGATTCGTCATGACAACACAGGCAATAGACCAGGCTGGTTCCTGGACAGAATAGATATTACTGACATGAACAATGAGATCACGTGAGTGGGACTAGAGGGAAGGGAGAAAGGCCATACTTGCCACTAACAGTCCTGGAGAGAGGACAGGTGTATGTATGTGTATGTGGGAGGGGGGTTGGGAAGTATGTGGTATCTAAGGGTGAAGTTGGATGGGCTGTGATATCTGGGTTTGGCCTAGGTAGCAGGCGTAGGTAGTAACCCAGGTCAGATTTTCAGTCCCCATCAGACCCCACTTTTCCAGTCCCAGGAAACTCTCCATGGAGAAATCAACTTCTAGCACGTGGCTTTAATTTTCTGGGCACCAGGAATCGGCAATGTTTTCTGTACAGGCCACATAGAAAAATATCCCCAGCTTTGCAGGCCATTTGGCCTCTGCTGAAATCAGTTTGCTGGTGGCACACAAAAGCAACCACAGATGACACCTTAATAGGTAGGCAAGGCTATGTTCCAACAAAACTTTATTTATGAACACTAAAATTTGAATTTCATGTAACCTTCACATCTCACAAAATATTATCCTTCTTTAGGCTTTTTCCCTCCAACCATTTTAAAATGTAAAATCCAATCAGGTGTGATGGTGAATGTCTATAATCCCTGCCAGCAATCGGGAGGCTGAGGCAGGCAGATCTGGTGTCAGAGGACGATCCAACTCAAGGAAGACCCAATCTAAAACAAACAAATAAGTATTTAGAAATACAAACCCCATGCTTAGCTTATGGAAAGTACTTAAACAGGTGTTGGGCCAGATTGGCCCCAAGCCACCACCTGAGCTAGGCTGAGAAGTAGCTGTTGGGTCCTTCCCCAGTTGGTGCTGGAGCAGAACCTGAAGTGTGGACCATCAATGTGGAATCTGGTTTCCCATCATCAGGCTACATTGCCTCTTAGGTGAGTGGAACCCAGTGGCAATGGAGATAAGAGAAGTCCCCTCCACATAGAGTGAGGCAGAGGAAAATATGTCAGCTCCTGAGAGGGATTTGGGGTAGCTGGGGACCTGCCAGTACATGAAATTCAGTGGGCACCCAATAATAATACTTGTTGAATTCAATCAGCTTCTTGGCCTGCTGTCTGTCTCTTGGAGTAAGCCCTCTTGTTGGAATCACCTCTGTGCAAACCAGGGAGTGATGGACTCACCCCATGTCCCATCCCACCTTGCCCCGCCATTCCAAGGAGACACAAGGCACAGCTCACAGATGGCCCAGTGTTATGGTTGTCCATGAGGTCATTGTAGCAAGCATAAGGACCCTAAGACAATCTGATGGCCAAAACCAAGGTCTTGACTTGGGGGCCAGTCCTCTGCCAGAAACTCACCAGGTCATCCTGGTGACAAGTAATTTCATCATTATGGCTGTTGTTTCCTTTTCTGATAAATGGGCTTGATGATGCCAGCCCAGACTACTTCTTAAGATGTTCTGAGAAGCGAAGGCTTTTAAGCTTGAAAAGGCTAATGTGCTCCTGAAATGTAAGGCGAGAGACACACTGAGAACATCCCAGCTCCCCATACAGCTCGGTCAGTGTTAGTTATTCTGTTCCATTGATTTGACATTTCTGGTCCAGCCCAACAATTTAAAAATTATTGTAGCTTTGTAGTCTATTTGAATGTCTGTCAGTACTTGTCCTATTTCATTATTCTTTAAAAATATTAGCTATTCTTACCTTTTGCAAATCAAGACGTTAAGTGATTTGAAAAAAAAAAGTTCTGTTGGAATTTTGATTGTTCTGCTATTAAATGTGTGTGTGGAGAACTGCATATTTAGAATATTAAGTGCTACCCCTAGACATACTTTTCCTGTTATCCAGCTGTTCCTTTATATATCTTGATAATGCTTTACAATTTTCTACGTGTAACTGCTACACATTCTTGTTAAGTTTATGCCCAAGTATATTTTTATCACTCTCATGAATGAAATCTTCTCATTACTCGTCTTCCTTTTTGTCCTCTCCCTTTTTCTTTCCTTCTTCTACCCTTCTCTTCTTCATCTCTTCCTCTTCCCACTCCATCCCTTTCTGTGGCTGTTGTTCACACTTGTTAATAAGAAGCCCTCTTCAGTAAGAGCTCTGTGATGAGCAGGTTCAATAACCTTCATGCCAAGAGACTCTGAGAAAAGTTTACTTTGGGAGACAGATGGAAAATCACAGAAGTCCAGAAGAAACAAAATCACCATAGTCTCACTTCTCTTGGAGAAACATGGCTTCTACAGTGCCCAGGGCCTCCCCAGGCTTCTACTGGCCTTTATAGCTAAGGAGGAAGGGCTTTGCAGCCAGGAGATTGGAGATTACTGTCATCACCCTTCACCTGCCCTGGACCAAATCAATAGCCCCCTTGGGAACTGGATGTCCTTGACTCCTCTCTGCCTCTCACACCCATTCCCCCATCCACTGGCAGAACATATTGCCTCTTTGCTCAAAAGAGCATGCGTCTGACATTATCTCTCATCCTCGTCACTCCACCCCTTTGGTCACAGCCTCCTGACTGCCCACCCTGTGTCACCCAGATCCTCCTGTTGTCTACAGAAACCCAGGGACCAGGATTATGTCACTCCTCTGCTTGAAAACCTACAGAAGCTCCCATTCATCCAGAGAAAGAGCAAAAATACACCTAGAAGCCTGCTTCACCCGAATGATCAGCCCCATGTCCCCTTCTATCTCTCTATCCTGGTCCTGGCTCCTCCTCACCTTTTTCATTCCTTACTATTATATATCCTTGTACCTAACAAACACGGTCCCTCTTGAGGCCTTAACATTGGCTGTCCCTTCTTCCTGGACTCCTCCCTCAGTGGCTCACCCCACATTTTCTTAGGCAGCTTTCTGCAGGTGCTGCTTTCTCAATGAGGCCTAGCATGCCGCTCCCCCTTACTCGTTTTTCTCTGCTTATTTTTTTCTCTGAGTCACTTTTTACCTGACCTGACCTACAGTAAGCTTGTGTATTTAGTCCTATCATCTCCCTTCCATAGCATGTGTAACTGATAATTTCCTTTCTGTTGTTAACTGCTGTGGCTCCCCAGGACCTAGATGAGGGCCTGGCAGAATAAGGACACAGACTCCAAGTTCCTGAGCGTTCCAGGCCCATGTTCTTGCCATTACCAGTTTAATTCTACCTGCCTTTATCTTATACGCGAAAGGGGGAAATTCCGTATGAAATTATTTACATTTTACCACACTCGATTTTATAACCTCATTCGACTTTTACTTAGAAGTGAGGTTTTTTTAATGGTCCAAACTTGAGTTCCGCGCTCACTGTAAACCCCCTGCCCTCTTAGGCCTGTGTGCTTTCCTCTTCTCACCCTGGTTTAAGCAGTATGCACTGACCTGGCCCAGAACATCTGCCTGCTTCTTCTTTGTTCCTTAAAAGTCCCCTGCCTGTTCCCTCCCCAGGGCCTAGAGACCTTCTTGAGCAGGATTGATTCCTGTGGGAGGACAGGATGGGGTCATGAAAGCCCGCCCGTCTCCTCTACACCTCCCTATGTGCTCCTTGGCACTGGGGGAAGGAGGCCAAGCGTCCAGCTCCTAGTCCGGGCCTGGCTTCAGCTCCGGTTCTGTCTGTCGGGGAACAGGTTCTGAGGGGAGATCTGCTGGCTGGTACTGCAGCTGTGAGCATGGTGAGAGCCTTCAGAGTCCTTCTGCAGGTCTCTCGGGGACAATGGAGCTAGTGCTCCACAAAAGCCAGCCAGCTTCTCTGCCTGCGCTCACTCGGTGCGAGTGGGAGGGTTTGTGCCTTTCCTTTATGTCTTTCTGACTTTTTTTCTCTCTCTCCCTAGTTCACCTCCCTGGCTTTCTCTTTGTGTGTTTCTCTGCCTCTGTCCTTGTCCTTGCTGACTTCCTGCTCTCATTGTCTCTGCCTCTGCCCCAACTCCACCCCTTCCTTTATCTCTGTGTCTCTCCCATAATTTAGAACTATAGCCTATTATTCATAAGTTATTTGATTGAATAAAATTTTAACTTTCCCATTCACACATTTAAAAGCTGAGAAGTGAAACAGTATGCATTTTACACAGAAACACTGGTTTAATGCCACTTAACTTACAGCACTTTAGCTTAAGCTCCTCCCGCCCTTTCAATCTGTGTCCATCACTAGAAAATTACCACACCCCACCCATAGGAGCCTGTGGACCGAAGTCGTGCCCTCTGGCTCTGCCCCTGAACATCAGGACCTTCAGAAGTATTGAACACTGTAGGAGAACATGAGTTCAAACAGAGGCCAGACCCTCAGAATATGCTACCCACCCTTCAGACTCAGACTCATCCCCAGAGGTCCCTTATGCATCAGGAAAAGGGGGAGCAAGGCACAAATGGGGCACAATGACTCCAACTTAGAGAAAGGTTGCATTCTCTTTGAGCTGTTAGGGGCCAGAGGGGAGCAACCCAGCTCACAGTCTCCAGAGAGCCCAGGGATGGCTAAAGAGAAACGGAAGGGAAAAAATAATAACAATAATGACAGCATTAGCAAATTCTTACCAAGAGCCTACTTTTAGTGGTTCAAGTATGTCCCAAATATTGGACAGAGCGTACATGAAAACAGGATTCATTGCTTGTCTAAAATTCACATGCAAATAGGAGTCCTGTAATTCTATTGGCTAACTTTGCCAGCTATAGCGCAGAGAGGTAAAGGGATTTGCTCAAGGTCACACAACAACTTAGTAGTGGAAGAGCCAGGATTTAGACCCAGACAGTTTAGTTACCGTCTCTGCTGGCTTCCCTCATCCTGGTCCACCTTCCTTCTGTCCAGGCTCCTCCAACACCCTGGGTGCTATCTCTCCATGGGGAGTCTGGCTTGGACCTGACTTGGACCTCCTTTCCCTAGACGGCCCAGCTGTCACTGCCTGCTCCTCAGCATGGTCTTACCTTCCAAAAGCACAATTCTTCATTCCATCAGAATCGATTAACTCAGCACACGTGTGAAGAGCACCTGCACTCTTAGCTAAAGTAACTCTGGCTCAAAGGATTAATTCCACAAAGGGTGGGAACAGTACCCTTCAGTCCCTCTTCTTCTAGATTCTTCTATGCTCCAGGAACATTACACAAACATCTTCAATGGGGTCTGGAGACAATGTCCCCATGTTTGTTTTCTATGCCAGACAAGTGACTGAGTGGGAGGGCAGATGGAGAGAATTTGAGCCCCACGAAGGGCCCCTCATTCTCAGCCCTTGTGGCCCCTACATGAGATCTTTCCAAAAGGATGCTACAAACCTTCCTCTCCCTCCCCCACAGGTATTACTTCCCGTGCCAACGCTGGCTGGCAGTGGAAGAAGATGATGGCCAGCTATCCAGGGAGCTGTTGCCAGTGGATGAGTCCTATGTGCTGCCCAGTGAGGATGAGGAGGGTGGAGGACATGGTGACAATAATCCCCTGGACAGCCTGGCCCTGGAGCAGAAAGGTTTTCTAGATTAGTGCTGATTTCTCCCTCTAACATCTCTGCTTTGCTTCTTCCCCTCCCTGGGTTCCCATCTGCCTACCAGCCTCTTTCCTCTCCTTCTCCTCGTCCCTGGGTTTCCATCTTCACTTCCTCACTGTGGGATCTGGGCATCTCCTGCTCTGACAATCTAGCTGTCCTGCCTTCTCATACCTCCATGGCAAGAATGAGGAGGTCTAGGACTGGGTATGGTGACTCACTCCTGTAATTCCAGATACCAAGAGACATAGATAGGAGGATCTTGGTCTGAGACTGGGCAAAAAACATGAGACCTTATCTAAAAAAATATAACTAAAGCAAATTAAGACTGGGAACATAGCTCAGACTATAGAACACCTGCTTAGCAGGCATGAGGCCTTGAGGTCAAACAAAAGAATGGGGAGGTCTTGGGGAAACATGGTCCCATGTATCTAGCACAAGGTTTGGTGTAGAGCACGTCTACAATGGAGTTGTTGTCAGGAATGGAACGGCTGAGATGGTTCTGCTTCATTTTCCCTCCAGGCACATTTTAGGCTTCCAGTATACTTTTGGCAAGGGAAACCATGAACAGGAACCTTCAAGAGTCCTAAGGTGTTTGTGTTTCCTTCCCTGAAACTCGTATCCCTGAAACTCCTCCTAGACTGGAGGGGTCAGTCAGGGCTCCTGGCTATGAGCCTTTAACTCCTGTAGTCACCCCATGTCTGCTCTAACCATCTGTCACCTCTATTGGTTGAAGGCTTCCTGTGTGAGCTAGGTCTGGGGACACTATCTCTACCCCTAGGAAGTTTCCAGACTAAAGGCAACTGTAGAACAACTTACATTGCAAGTAAAGTGATTCATGGAAAAGGCCCATGTGACAAAGGAGCTGTATTTGCGGCTAATCACAAACTCACAGGCGTAGGATTGGAAGAGCACAGGAAGAGCTAAGCGATGGAGCCAGAAGGGTGAATCCAGGGAGCCTCCTCCCTTCAATGGGACCCCAGAGCAATCTCCAACTCACTTCTCTATGTCTTCTCTTGGCAGATAAATCGACCACCTTCTCAGTGACTGTAAAGACTGGGGACAAAAGGAATGCAGGCACAGATGCCAATGTGTTCATCACACTCTTTGGCACACAAGATGACACCGGTGAGAAAGCAATGCCAAAACTCACCCATATTCATCTCTGGGTATATCAGATGACTTAGGAGCTGTTTTCCAGAAAACCCTAGTCAAGCCTTTGTCTCACTACAGATCTTGGCCCCACCAGAGAAAGACAGTTCCCTTTTTCCTAAAAAATTCTCCTCTTCTCTGGCCAGCTTTCTTCTTCTGTTTTAGTGGAAGAGGAGCCTTTGCCCTAACCCACCCACCACAACTTGGGAGAAGGTGGCTCCTGCAGCTCCTAAGAGACTCAGCCCAGGGCTTCTGAGGTTCTCTCTGTGTGAGATGCACAGGGAGTCCTAGAGTTATTCTAGAGCCTCCATGCAAGACCTCAGAGCAGGCAGTGCAGTAGCACTGGGGCTGCTGTCCATGCATGCTTTCCTGCCAGTCTGCTGAGTCTAGCGAGGATTCAGTCTTTCAAGCAGTCTTCACTCATTAGCTCAGCGCTCTGTGGGTTCAGAGCCCTGTGCCAAGCATTATTGAAGAATGAATGATCCTAGTTCTTCCCCGTGGGGTGCTTATGTGCGAGTAGAGGGCATGGGTCTGGGGCTTGAGAGACTGGCTCAGTCTCTACTGTAAGCTGTATGACCCTAAGCAAGTTGCTTGAACTTTCTGTGTCTTAGTTTTCCCTGCTTGTAAATAGAGATAAAACTATATGTGTCTCATAGAGGTGTGGGTTTAATGAAATTGAACACGTAAGATATTTGGGTTAAAGTGTCACTCAGTAAATATTAACCATTATTATTATTTGATAGGTTACCTAGAGTGACTAATGTATAATGAAAGAATTAGGTCATAGTTGGTAAATGGATGAGATTGTGATGGTTTCTGAACCATGTCTGAAGGAATTGATGCGCCCTGATGACTGCTTTTGTTTGCTTATGTGTTAGACACATTCTTGGGCATCATCTTGTTAAGTCCTCACAATAACCCTACAGAGAAGGCACCAAGATCACCTCTTTTTGATATTTGAGGAAACCAAGTCTGAGAGACATTAAGTAATTTTCCCAAGACCACCTAATGATAGGAGACAGAGCCAGACATGGTCAATGTGTACTTAAACCAGTCTGTGATGAGGCTGTGACTATCAGAAGACTTCTTTATGTGGTGGGACCAGAGCTGAGATTTATAGGAGTGAGAGGACTTAAAGGCAGCCTGGTCACTATTCACAATAGCCAAGTTATGGAAACAGCCAAGATGCCCCACCACTGACGAATGGATTAAGAAAATGTGGTATCTATACACAATGGAATTCTATGCAGCCATGAAGAAGAACGAAATGTTATCATTCGCTGGTAAATGGATGGAATTGGAGAACATCATTCTGAGTGAGGTTAACCTGGCCCAAAAGACCAAAAATCGTATGTTCTCCCTCATATGTGGACATTAGATCAAGGGTAAACACAACAAGGGGATTGGACTATGAGCACATGATAAAAGCGAGAGCACACAAGGGAGGGGTGAGGATAGGTAGACAAAGCTAGCATTTGCAACTTACAACTAGAGAAAAGGTTAAAGAAGAATTAACCTACAAGGTAACACCCACGCACAGGAAATCAATGTGAGTCAATGCCCTGTATAGCTATCCTTATCTCAACCAGCAAAAACCCTTGTTCCTTCCTATTATTGCTTATACTCTCTCTACAACAAAATTAGAAATAAGGGCAAAATAGTTTCTGCTGGGTATTGGGGGGGGAGAAGGAGGGGGCGGACTGGGTGGTAAGGGAGGGGGTAGGGGCAGGGGGGAGAAATGAACCAAGCCTTGTATGCACATATGAATAATAAAAGAAAAAGGAAAAAAAAAAAAAGGCGGCCTGGTGCCAACTGAGATAGGAGGGGATGGTGATGACTCTGAGACCACCTCAGATTTCAGAATGACACCGCAGCTCGAGTCCCAGACAGATTCCATAAGCTGATAGGAAGCACTTGGAACCATCTCTCCTTCTGCTGTCCAGATAAGTCTCCAGAGAATTCCCACAGAATCCATTCTCACAGAGGATATCTTCCCAGTGAACATGACAAGGGTGACTTTGTCACTGTCTCCCTCCCCGTGTGGAGAATTATGAGAGGTGTGGAAAGAGAGGATGTCACTCAGAACCTTGCCACTTTCTCCTGAGTAATTGTTGATAAGGCCTTTCTTTAGATATAAACTAGAAATAAAAATTCATGGCTCAAGAGATTTTATAAAGCTTAATGAACACACACACATGTGAAAGTACACAGTGGCTGCATAGTCTAGATTTGATGGAAATTCAGGAAGGGATGAAGAGGGGTGGGTCAGATTCGGTTAGAAAAGTTTCAGGGCCAGCCAGTCACGTTAGGTCATCTGCTTGGCAGGAATGACCCTCCTGAAGTCTTCAAAGACCAACAGCAACAAGTTCGAGAGGGACAGCATTGAAATCTTCACAGTGGAGACGCTGGATCTGGGAGACCTGTGGAAAGTCAGGATCGGCCATGACAACACAGGTCTGGCTCCCCTCCCCCTCTGTCCTCAGATAGAACTGTAGTGCCATGAACTGGTCCCTGTGTGCAGCTGGGAAAGATTTGGATGCCTTCTGACTTCCACAGTCACACAGTTTCTCCATCCTATAACCCAGTGGAGCCTTGGCTGCACACAAAGATTCTGTCTTAATTAGTCTGGATCAGGACCTGGACACTGGTGATTTCAAAGCCTTGTTCAGCATCCAACCTCAGTACTTTTACTGTGTGACTGGATTTGGAAGTCCCTGATTTAACTCGGTAGTTCTCTAACTTGGGTGTGCATCAGAATCACCTGGGGTGGGGTGGGATATCAACACACACATTTTTGGGCCCCATCCAAGAGTCTTCAGTTTGATAGGTCTGATTGCCTGTCTGAGAACATGCAGATTTCCCAAGGTCCTGTGTGATGAAGAGGCTGCTGGTCTCGGAACTCCATTTTGAGAATCACTGATCTAGCTACCCCTTTGTGGAAACAATTGACGCAGGAGCCCAACAAAGGACACATCCATGTTCATTCTCTCTGAGTAAAGTAGGAGTTGTTCTTGGTTCTAAAACCACTTCTCCTAAGCCTGGAAAAGGGACCCTCATCCTGGAACCCAGGGCTGTTAGTACTATAGGGCCAGGGTTCTCTGCCTGGCTTCCATTTGCTTCGTTGAGCTTGAACACTCACTTTCCGGGGGGTTCACCACTCCTCCACTCATCCCCCCGCCTTTGTCCATTGCAAGCTGAGCCAGGGAGCTGCAAGCGTCACCCCGACTACTGGCCAAGATGATTGAAGTCTTCAGGGACACAGGCTCTCTTTGGCATCCCTGGGCTCCCTATTTGGAATTGCTTTCACCCTGGACAGCATCCTTGTTTCCCTGCGCTCAGAGTCCCCTGCCCTCCTGTCTCCTCCTCCCTGTGCTCCTTCACTGCTGCTATTTTTACTGGCAGAACCTGGAGTGTGAGCCAGCTTCAACCACGTACACATTTTCCCCCCAGAGGTCATCTTTGCAATGCTGTTAGCAAAAGGGGCAACACAGGTGGGTTCTAGGTGTCAGCCAGGGAGGGGGAAAGGATGTTTGGAGTCCCTGAAGTCACCCATGGGAAGTCATCTCTGCATAAGACCTTGATGGGTTCTGTGTCTCCTCTCTCCCCAGGAAAGGCCCCAGGCTGGTTTGTAGACTGGGTAGAGGTGGATGCCCCCTCTCTTGGGAAGTGCATGACATTTCCTTGTGGCCGCTGGCTGGCCAAGAATGAAGATGATGGGACCATCGTCAGGGACCTCTTCCATGCGGAGCTTCAGACGAGGCTGTACACACCATGTAGGAACCACGCAAAGCAAGGCTGGCCCTCCTTGGGGACCCCATCACCTGCTATCCCAACTTGGCCCCAATTCCTCCTCCAGAGTTGACTCTGGGCCAGGCCTACCTTAGAAATTAAGCTTTTATTCTTTCCCCAAATTTCCTGAGCTGGGGAGTGGGGGGAGTTAGAGGGCACTGTGAGCCTAGCCATGAACGTAGAGAAAGAAAACGTGATTTATTCCAAATTCTATCTCAAACTAGCCAGTGACAACACAGAGAGCCTAACCTCTCTAGGGATCAGTTTCCTCATTTGCAAAATAGAGATAATAATGCAGGGTGATAGAAATACCAAAAAATAACATGAGGGATCAGGATCAACCCTCTTACCAATCTTTATTCCATTTATTATCATACCAAGAAATCCCCACTACAAGATTTTTTGCTGATGGAGAGGGGAGTAGAGGAGAACTCAAAAAGAGGGTAAATGTAATATTTTATGGGATAAAGCAAAGGAGGAAAAAGAGTACTTCAGTGGAGTTTTGATCCTCCCCCGCCCCACTGTTGTCATCTAAATGTTTGTATTAAATCTTTTATATACATGTAAATGTTTCTGAGGTACTCGGAATCAAACTGAAATCAGTCACACTATAAAAGTCTGTGTGCATTTGGTAAACTCTGAACCAAATCCAGAGCATACAGATTTTTTCTAGCTAAATAATGAGCTATACCAAAAGATTTCCCCCAAATAATGCACACTTAACAGCAGGAATCAGTGATTCACTTTTCCATTTAAAGTGGAAATGAACAGATCATCCAAAATATTTTCTGGTCCAAAGTCAGAGATGAAGTGACATGTCCCTGTAGTGAAATCCTGGTCAGAAGTACACAAAGCAAACTCTGGATCCAGCCCCTGTCCCCAGGAGCCACTTGCAGTACAGGACAGACTCTAAACTAACAGATGCATACAGGGCTGGCAGCAGGACTGGGTGGGACCTCAGGCAGAAGTGTATCTCCCTTGGTACCCTAGGATGGACCTGGATTTGTACCTCACCAACAAGTTAAAGAATTTAGGTGACCTGACTTTGGGTATGTAGTCATCCCTCAGTGTATTTGGAGATTGGCTCCAGGACCTCTCCAGATACCAAAATCCATAGGTCTTCACATTTCTTATAGGAAATGGCATAACATTCGCATATAATCACACATGTCCTCCTGTATACATTAAGTCATCTCTCGATGATTTATAATACCTGATGTAAGTGGTATATAAATAGCTGGTATACTGTATAGTTTCTGGAATAATGACACGGGGAAAAGTCTGTATATATTCAGTATCATGCAGCTTTCTTTCAAATATTTTTGATATGTGACTGGCTGAATCCACCATGTAGAATTCAGAACCCACAGAAACAGAGGGCTGACTGTATTAAGTTAGAGCCTTAAAACTACTAATATTAAAACTAACCATATGCCCCTTGTAGATTCACACTTACCAGGGAAAGAAAAAGAACTAGAGAGGGGAGGAACGAAAGGAGGAAGGATGGGACAACAGTTTTTCCTTTGCTTCACACGCATTGCTCTGAGTCTGGCAAGTCTGGGTTCAAATTCAAGTTCCACTTTATAATCTTGAGCAAGTTCCTTCACCTCTCTGAGCCTTGGTTTTCTCCTATTATAAAATGGGTGTGATATTTAGGGAAAAATGGGATGATAATACCTGTTCCATCAGGCCACTGTGAGGATTAAAGGTGATAAGGACCACAGAGGACTTAGTGCAGAATCTGTCACATAGCAAGTACTCCGTGAGTGAAAATGTTTACAGCCGCAGGCATTATTACTACAGCTCTCCAGCAAAGTATCCCTGGAAACAAAGAGACAAATTCCTCATGGGGGAAGGTTGAGGCCACCTGAGAGAAGGCAGTTCCTAACATGGCTCCTTCTGAGAATCAAGATCACAGAATAGGGTAGATTTCCTCTTGAACAATTTCTCTGAGGTTTCATCTTTCCTTTGTTTTCCTTTCTTTTTGCTGTCACCCATATACCATACAACAAATAAAAGTGTCACAAAAATTTACTCTTGCACTATGTGATTTACATTGCTATTTCTATTCAACTCTAATCAATTCCATGGGTTTGTTTTGTTTTTCTGTTCCGGTTTTTGTTCGTTTGTTTGTTTGGTTTTGGTTCTTGGAGTTGAATTCAGGGCTTCCCACTTGCTAGGCAGGCACTTTTACCACTCCAGCCACACCTCCAGCCCTCAAGGGAATGTTTTTTAAATTACTAGTGACAGCCCACTAAATTCATTTCGCAAACTGCTAGTGAATCTCAACCTGAGGTTGGCATACCTTGTTTTGGATGACTGCTTTCAAGCTTCAGTGTGAAGTATGAGTTAGACCCACCATGTAGATGATCTGAAGAGGGGTTTTAGAATCTGCATTTTTAACAAACTCCTTAAGAGCTTCTGGAGCAAAGGGTCCTAGCCCACACATGCTGGTCCCTCCTCATACTGGTGACCACACACTAGGAAGCTGCTTGCTAACAGTACTGATGGATCAACTTTCTTTTAAGGACAGACAGTCCCTTAGGGGACTGTGAAAATCCCACAGCATCCCTTACCTCCTCCTGTCCCCTCCCCTACAGGAGACCTCTATAAATCGATGGAACCTGAATGAGGGGACATGGAGAGGGCAGGCTGGCTTGGAGCAAGTGAGGGGCTGGGATCAGGGATGAGGATCAAAGAGAAAGAATTCTCACCATTGCAGACTAGCTCCGATTGCTGAGTTACCCCTGACATCTATTAGTCCTGGGTACTGAATGTCCAGCTAAGCACCAAGTGGAGGGTACTTTACAGATAATGGAACCCGAGGTTCATAAGTAACTAGCTGAAGTCTCATTGATAGTCAATTTAGGGCCAGGAATCAAGCCTGAACTTGAATTCCATAGCTTGTGCCTCCAGCCAATGGGCTACAGCAGTCCTGTAGTGCATGATGCTCAAGGACCCTAGTCTGAGGGATCTGGGACCGTCTGTGGACTTGGCAAGAAGGACTCCGGGACTGTCTGTGGACTTGGCAAGAAGGACTCCCTACCCCACTAGGCAACCATGCAAAGGTCCAGGTCTATGGGCAACAGCTCCCTGTGAAAGAGTCCAGGTGGGTGGTGTTGGTGAAGAACTTGGCCTCATCTGTTTGTCTTCTGCTCTCTTGCCCTCTGGCTACGTCCCTCAGTCGTCCCTTATGAGATAACCCTCTACACCAGTGATGTCTTTGCTGCTGGGACAGATGCCAATATCTTCATCGTCATCTATGGCTGTGATGCTGTGTGCACCCGGCAGAAGTTCTTGTGCACCAACAAGAGGGAGCAGAAGCTGTTCTTCGAGAGGAAGTCTGCCTCCCGCTTCATCGTGGAGGTACCTGGCTCAGCGGGCTACCCATGGAGAGGAGGGAGTGGGTTAGGGTAGGGGAGAGGAACCTGCAGGAAGGCAGGACATGTGCTCTTCATCTGCTTGCGTCATTGTTAGTGGAAGGTGAGCAGCTTGCCCAGCCTCTCTGGACCTCTGCATCTCAGCCAACTAGGACAACTAGGACAGTGATGTTCACCCTGCCCCTCCAAGCCTGGGGTCAAGATCAAAGGCAATGATGAGAGTGGAACTGAGAGGCACCATGCCACTGGTCCATTGCTAGTGCTTCCGACACCAGACACACATGCACAGCAAGGCTTCCAGGCACGCTGGTGCTGGGGTGCTGGGTAGGTGCAAATCTCACTACCAGGAATCATGTGAGGATGAATCTCCTGCTCAGTTTTCTAGCTGAGGCCACACAGTGGGATGCAGAAGAACATTCTGCATGTTCCACGGCATCTGTCAGGTCTGGGTAACGGGGACTCTGTTGATTGATGTTTACTGTGGATGTGGGGCCCAGCACCTTAGAATCCCATAATCCTCCATCCAGTGCAAACTCCTAATGTCTGCTCTGAGTCCCAGCTGTGTGCTAAGTTGGCGGGAGACACAAGAGAAAGAGAAGACTCAGACTCTGCCTGCAAGAGACTTGAGTAAAGTCAGGGACCTCCACACAAAGCTGATTGTCACCGTTACTGACTCTGTGGGTCAGAGGCACTAACATACTGGATTGAACTCACTGAACCCTCATGACAACTCTGTGCTGTGCTGATTCCTGGGTAAAGAGAGGGAAACTGAGGCACAGTGAGTTTAGTGGCTTCCTTAAAACCACAGCTAGGATGTAGTGGAAGGAGGATCTAAACTCAGGAGGACTAGCTTGGAATGTGGACTCTTGACCGTAGACCAGCAAGTGGACTGAGCTTGCTGTTAGAGTAGGAAGGGGCTCCCTGGAAGAGGTGGCTTTGAGTTGGGCATGAAGGTGGACATAGCAAGGATGAAAGAAAAGCATTCCTGAAAGGGAACAGCATGCCCACACCCCAGAGGTGGAAGTGGACATAGTGTGTGGCTTGAGTTTGGGTTAGAGGGCACAGGGGGAGCACAATGAGACTTGAGTAGAGGGCAGGGATGGAGCTGGATGGAGAAAAGAGCCAGGAATGGGGGAGTCTGGACTTTCTAGGTAGTGGAAACGTGGAGACACACCCCTTATTTTCTGCTGGGAAGCAAAACCCAGAGCACACCCTTGTCCTTGGCCAGTCGCTACCCTGGGGACCCATGCTCCCTCCCATCCTCTTTGGGAGCAGTCAGCATTTGTCAGAAGGTCTGTCACCTTTGTTGAGTCTTTAACAAGGAAAATTCAAGGCTGATTCATTTATCCACACAAAGCTAACATCTCACCACCTGAGATGGCATGGTTTGTGAGTCATCAGAACCTGATGCCGTCAGTGACTGAGGCTGTGGTTACACCTCCGCAGGACGCTCAGGGACTTTCATCAATGAAGTCCCTGCTAATAGACAGCTATAATTTGCCAGTCATTTAGTGCTATTTTTTCTTTTTCTTTTCACTTCTCTCTAGGTGTCGGGAGGCATGAGAGCTGGGAAACCGATGCTCTCATGGACAAAAAGGTTTTGTCTCCTTAGCCTCTGGCTCTCCTGTCTGTCTCTCTCTCTACTCCTCTATTCTGATGGATATTTGGGTAAGAGGTAGAGCACTGGATGGTGAGTCCACAGCCTCGGTCCTGACTCTGGCTCTGCTGATAACCCATGAGCAAGCCACTCCCTCTCTGTGGCCCATCCTGAGATGAAGGGGCTGGCCAGGAAGAGGCCAGGAAGAGCCAGGAGTTACTGAGCCCTGCCCACGTGCTAGCCCTGCTCTAAGCACTTGATGTGGGTCAACTCCTGAATCCGTGTGACAGTTCCAAGACGGTAGAATTATTCCGTCTTACAGAGGCGCAAACACAGTAAGTTTAGAAACTTGCACAAGGTATCATCCAGCTTTGCTGTAACCGGTACTCAACAGTTTGGTTCCAGAAGCTTCTCTGCTAAAGCTCCTCCCCAAACCAGGAAAATGCCAGGGTCCCTTCTCAAGCTGATGTCCTCTGAGCCCAACTCTGAGGTCCTCTACCTGTGTCTTCCTCGCTGCTGTCACTGGGGGAGTGTGGCAGGGTTTGCTCTGTGGCTGCAGCATCATTATTAATTCACAGAGCTGCTGCAGCATGGCACTCTGCTGGGCACTTAGAATAGAGAACAGGTGGGCCAGGCAGGGTAGCTCATGCCTGTAATTTCATTTACTTGGGAGGTGGAGATAGAAGAATTGCAGTTTGAGGCCAGCTTGACGAAAAGTTCTTGAGACCCTATCTCAAAAATCAAGCCGGGCAGGGTAGTACACATCTATAATCCCAGCTACTCAGGAGCCAGAGGTAGGATGATTATAGTCCAAGGCAGGCCCCAGACAAAAGTACAAGACCCTATCCAAAAAATAACTAAAGCAAAAAGGGCTGGGAGTGTGGCTCAAGTGGTGGAATGCCTGCCTAGCAAGTATAAGGCCCTGAATTCAATCCCTCAGTACCATCAAAAAATAAAAGAACTAGAGAACAAGTGACAAAAACCCATGTCTGTGATGTTAGACCTAAGTGTGACTTCAAGAGGTTTCCCCAACCATGCCTTTAGCACAAATTTCCAGATGAAGATATTGAGTCCTGGAAGCCCAGGTCTTGCCTAACATCACACAGGTTGTAGGGGCAGAGCCAAGGCTGGAGTGGGAAGGCTGGGGGCTTCCCAAGCAGGGCAGATGGCCCCCTTGACTGTCAAAGTGGTGGGGCAGTGGGGTATGGGCAGGAGGAAGCCCTTGACTGGTGACAGCTGCAGTTCATTCAGAGGTTGCTTCCCTCTATGATCACAGAGCTTTGCACTTCATAAATGACTTAGTCACTCAGATACCGTTCTCTTGTCAAGAGCCCTCCATTCATGCTGGAACCTACTTTGCCACCTCTTTGTGGCACCTGAGAGCTCAGTGGAGAAGACTGGGCTACCACCTCCACAAAGGAGCTGCCAAAAACCTCAGATCTGCAGGCATTCTACTGACCCCAACTGTCTCACTAGACCTCACGGCATGATTTCTGGCCCACAATCCAGGACACCGGGTATCATGGTATCTCTTTGCCCTTCTTTTCCCTTTGTCCTGACTTCCTCAGCTATTTCTGGTCCTGTTATCACCCAGATCCTTTTATGGAGGTGGCAAGGTGGCTCAACATGGACAGTATCACTTCAGAGGAGAAGGTGACATGCGAGAACCCAGAGGGTCCCAAGAGCCTCACGGGGGCTGGTGAGGTGTTAGAGGGCAGGTGGCAGAGAGAGCTGGCAGGCACGTGCCAGATGAGGGGGCAGCTTTGCCCTGGGACTGACCACCTCACTGCTTCCTTACAGAGACTCTGAGGGTCCAGAGCATCCAGCAGTCTTGACAGAGCCCCTTAGGCACCAGGCAGGAGAGAGAGATGATCACCTACTCCCCGCCCCAGCTCAGGGTCTCCCCGTGGTACACGCCTAAGTGTGGTGTTCACATGTCATCATGGTTAAGCTTCAGCTCAGTTTATGAGGCGTCTGGCTGACGTTATCACACCCATTTTGCAGCTAAGGAAACACTCATTGTTTCATCCTGTTGAGTACCTAGGTCACAGGCACTGCTGTAGGCTTTGAGGATACAATGGTGAGCCAAATGCCTCCTGTCCTGGTGGCTTCCAGTGGAGGAGAAAGTAGGAATGATAAGATGGTGAAGGAGACAGAAGTGTCCCACAAATAAATACAAACTCACAAACTGTGGGAAACGCCCGAAGGGAGAACCACACCCCCTTCGAGCCCATGGTGGACGGATTTGACTTTCTTGGAGAAGCCCAAGGAGCTTTCCTGAGGAAGTGAGAGGAAGGGACACTGAGTTGAGACCAGAAGGAGAGGGGAAGGCAGAGCACGTGCAAAGGCGCTATCAAGTTTGAGGGACTGGAACTTGTGAGAACACAGAAAAAAGTGGCAGAAAGGGAGGCTCTTAGGGACCAGAGGGCTTGAACAAGGTCAGCCTGACAAGATGGTGGTCTGGGCAGATCCAGAATTCTTCTTCTGACACCCGATTCAGTCCTCAAACAGGGAGTGAGCTGCTCCAATAGCAAGTAATGGGAGACGGGCTGGGCTCCACTCCCAGAGAAGTGGGCTGAACTGAGGGCTGGAGCTGGGGCTAAGTGGGGAGGGGGGAGGCAAAGCATGGAGCATGCAGAGGAGGGGGGCTGGCCTGGCTGGACAGGGAGACGTGTTGGAAGCAAGTGACCCCTGAACGTTCAAAGGGACTAAAGGGTAGATGGCCTGGGGAGGCAGAGTGTGGTTGAGGTCTTTCTCCTAATATCTGGTACCTTTTCTCCCTTCCAAAGTTAGAGGACGTGGGTGAGATCATTGAGAAGATCCGGATTGGCCATGATAATACGGGCATTAATCCTGGGTGGCATTGCTCCCACGTGGACATTCGCAGGCTCCTCCCAGACAAAGACGTGAGTTTGTGATGGTTCTGTCCTGCTCCCCCGTTCCCAGAAGAGATTCAAGGCAGATTCCCTCACTGGTGACTTTAGCCTTGTTAAGATGAGATGAAATTTCCTGAGAAAAATTCACTCCCTTCAGGCAGAGTGAGGGGAACTAGTTCAGGTCCCCAGCAGAATCTTCTGGAACCTGGTTTAGTGGTCAAGGAGGAGAGTCTGGGCAGCTGTGTGTTTGCTCCCCAGCCCCAAGACTATACTTCTAGTGAATGACCAGCATGCTCTTGCTGCTACTCAAGGTCAAATCCAGGAGAAAATCTGCCCCAACAACTTGGGAAACATTTGGAAACCACAGCACTCTATATCCAGGAGGCTCTCAGTCATAGCTGTGGGAGTGAGAGATTTGGGGAGAATTTAAAAGCACTGAACCCCCCTCTTTACCCACTGAACTTGAGTCTCTGATATGGAGTTCAGGTATCTATTTTTAAGAGACCCTGGGAACCCCAGACTTCAAGCCAGCTCCTGATGTGGTTATGCAAGTATTTAAGTCAGACACGTCTTCTGAACTAGAGGCAGGAAGGCTCCTTGGCACTCTTTGCACTATGAGAACCCCTGACCCTTCTCCTCAGTCCTGATGAATATTAAACATGCCCACGAGCCACTGAAGTTGGCCCCTAAGGGCTAATTTTTCTCTTTCCTCCTCACTCTAGGGTACAGAGACCTTGACTTTCCCATGCGATCGATGGCTTGCCACCTCTGAGGATGACAAGAAGACCATTCGAGAACTGGTCCCTTATGATATCTTTACTGAGAAATACATGAAAGATGGGTCCTTAAGGCAGGTCTACAAGGAAGTGGAGGAGCCTCTAGACAGTAAGTGCGTGGGGATGTCACCCTCATCAGCACAGGCAGCTCCAGGACCACGGCCCTCCCTTGTAGAGCACCTGCCACTTGCCAGGCTGAGCCTTCTCATACAGAAAGATGTTCAGTTATAACCTCTAGGCTGTAGAGTGGGAAACTGACTTACAGAGATTACATAACCTGCCAAGGTCACACAGCTAATAAATGGCAGAGCTAGCCTTCAGTGTCTTGCCTGTCTCACTCCAAGGTTTGTACTCCAGTCCCTTCCTGGTTTGACATTGTGATAATGCATCCAAACAGGAGTTGTCCTGTGCTTGAATTCTACTGGTCCTGCTTTTCTCCCTACTCTGATCATTTGGCTACCAATTTGTGTGTCTTCTCTGCTCTCTCTGGATCCTGCTGCTGTAATTAAGTATAAATTAAGACACACCCTGAGGCTGGGGGTGTGACTCAGAAACTAAGCACTTAGCTAATATGTGACGCCCTGGGTTCCGTCCCCAGCACTGAAAAAAACAAAAAAGAAAGAAACAATAAAAGAAAAAGAAAAAGCTCCCCAGCTTGGCAAGTAACTGGAGCCAATGCATACTTGCTCTCAGTGGTTGGGTGCAGCTCTTCATGGTTGTGATTTCCTCTGCAGGATTTGCACTAAATCTTGCAGCTCACTTCTTGTGCTTCCTCCTCCTTTGCTCTTTGTGACCCCATCATATTCTAGGTCTCTTCCTACCCCTCTAAATAATCCGCTAGATTCCTTTCTTGTGCTAGTTGGTTTTCTCCAAGGCTCACCCCTCAGCCTCTTCTCTTTCTACATTATGTATGTGTACATGCATGTACACATATACATACATATGTACTCTTCCTGGACCACAGAGTCACCCCTTTGTTTTGACCATCAGTGGCATTGTACATGTCAATCCCATGTTAGTCACCAGCCATTCAACTCTGAACAAGCTTTATCTATTTCAAAAATCAACTTCACCTGTAAAAACCAGACTTTCTGCCAGTGATGGTATACAAAAGACTCCTACGGACCTCTCCAGAAGAGTAATCTCCAAGGACAGACATGCTCCAAGAACTTGGAAGTCCAGCTCCAATTTATGATCATGCCTTCTTGGAAAAACTGGAGCAAACCCCAAGATTCTAGTAAAACCCAAGATTCCTACATGGAGCCAGGGGAACAGATCTTCCTGTTCACCAGGCTTTCGCAAAAGACAAAAGACAAATATTTTCCTTTTTTATTGCTGGAAGTAAAACAGCTATGGCACGCCTTTCATCTGAGCCGTCTCACTTAGAAATAACTGGAGTTACCCAGTATTGTTCCTCTCCCCACCCCTACACCTTTCTCCAAATTTTCTTTGCTATTCAGTCAGGGAGATAAGTCTCTTTTCTACTTGGATCCCAGAGGACGCCCTGGACAGTGGTTCCAACAGTACACTTGGGCTGTTCTGTACGAATCACACTGCACGGAGCCCATTCTGAGCTTGGTGATGTCTCTAAGGAAACATCTTTCCCCTGACGAGCTGTGTGGCCTGGGTGGGCTGGGGAGGGAGGAGGATCCAGAAATAGCTGGAGCCTGCAGAACCGCATTGCTCAGCACCCAGAAGGTGAATCAGTTTTCCTAAATCCCACAGGGTTGGAGAAAGCAGTGCGGGTGGATGGGGGAGTTAGAAGGCTATTTAGTCACAGCTCCTGGAGACACACCATCCCACTCTAGGATAAGGGGCTCCTAGTCCTAACAAGTCCACCCACCCGCAATTCTACATGTGTGCAGCAGGCCTGAATGCAGTCAGGAGGTGGAGGGGAGACTGAGAGGGGAGGCCAGTCGACTGTTGTGTCTAAGCTGTGACAAGATTCCTAATGTTACCTCGTGTCGGTGTTAGCCTGGCAGACTCGGGTAATGCTGGCTCTTTTAAGCAACAGAGATGATTTCATCTATTAGTGCAGAACATGAAATGCTGGCTGGATTGTGCACATTGCTAAGTGGGGTGGGGGTGGGGAGATTGTCCCTGGCTTCTGCCCATGTTGGGAGGAGTGCATTTCACCATCCAGTTTCATGATGCACCAAGGGACTTGGGAGAGCAGGGCACTGAGGAAGGGGCTACAGAGAAAGCGGGGATGGGTAGGTTTGCAAAAAGAGCTAGAGTACAGGAGGGACAGAGTTTAATTTGGATGTGTGAGATTGTGATGCTGGGGTCTAGTCAGGGTGGAGAAGGCCAGTCGAAAGGTGACAAGAGTTGGGGGTACAAGCACGGGAGGGAACTGGGTTGCAGAGACAGTCTTGAGAATTCAAGGAAGACAATAACAGGCTGTGGAAGATGAAGGCTGAGAGATGCAGGTGGAACAGGGAGAAGTTGGTACCCACAGACTGGGCAGAAGTTGAAGAACCCGCGAAGCTCCCTAAGAGCTTCCGGAGAGGCAGAGGAGAGCACGATGCTGTGGCACCTGGGGGAAAAGATGAGACACCTGGGACCACACTGTGGGTGTGGGTGTGAGTGTGTCTGTAACCATGGGTGCGAGCAGCTCACAGCGCCTTGCTTTTCTAAATTGAATTAGAGACGACTCTGCAAAGGCTGGTAAGGAAAAAAGAAAAAAAAGCCTGTGCCAGCCATTGCAGGAAGGATGATCCTTTTTCAGGGTCATGCGAGAATATCAAAGCTCACAGCAAAGGCCTGGCTCTCAGTGAGTAGCTCCACCGCCACAGAGTGCCACTGTCACAGAGTGCTATGCCAACACTCAAGTGTCACTTCTCTGGTAGTACAGAAACAGCACTGAACAAACCCTGGTTTTGTCAAGAGACTCTCTTTTCTGCCCTGAGGCCTTCATCAAGTTTTAAGTCCCCATGTAAACCTGGCAGCCATCTCCGTACTGGTTCTGTTTGGAGATGAGGGGTCCCTGCCTACAGGAGAAGGGAAACCAACCTTTCTCCTAGTTTGGCCACTGCTACCCTTTATCTCAAAGCTTCAGTTTCCATCCTGCTCCCTTGAGGACAATCCAACCAGGTCTTCTTGGCCTTGGCCTGACTCTCCAAATCTCCTAGCACAGAGGGAAATGAAGAGGAGACAAAGTCATGGCATGGGTAAAAATACATATCACACGCCCTCTTCCCACAGGGTTAGAGGTTGGGAAAGAGTTTTGCTCTTCTTTGATGAGTCTTTAGCAGCAAAACAAAGCCAGGACACTACTGGTATCCATTTTCCTTATGACCTTTACATAATGGTCACCCTTTTATGTAAGGAGACCTTCCCAGGGGCCCTGGGGACAAAGGAAAGTGCAGCAGTCACTGTGACTTTGGAAGAAAAATTGCCTGGAGCACTGGGTCAAGTAAGGGGTACCAGTGGGATGAAGAATAAATGAAAATAAATTCTTTGAAAATGATTGCATTTTTTCCCATAATCCAGTTAGAAGGATCTGGCATAGTAGTTTCAGTGTGTCACAGCAGGACCATTCGATGACCATAGTGTGGACACACTCCTAGAAGTTTCCTGGGTCTTTCTCCCTGGACACTGTAGTTGGCTGAATGGATTGATGGTTTGAGGAGCACTCAGCAAAGTCCTCTGAGAGCCACCAGATCAGTTGGGTAGACCCCCTCTGGAGACTCCACACAGAGTGCAGCTAACTGTGCGTAACTGGGCAAATGAAAGGAAAGTGCCAGCTCCTTATGGCCTGTATCACACTGCTTTCCCAGGCCTAAAGTGCTGTTGTCCTTCTCTTCCCTCTGTCTGACTGTCCACTGCACAGTCGTGCTATACTCGGTACAGATCTTCACAGGGAACATTCCCGGGGCCGGGACGGATGCAAAGGTCTACATCACCATCTATGGAGACCTGGGGGACACCGGGGAGCGCTATCTTGGCAAGTCGGAGAACCGCACCAACAAGTTCGAGAGAGGAACGGTAGGAGGAGCACAGAGGGTTTGCCCACTTCCCTTCTCCTCCCTGGGTTCAGTCATCTGGTAACCAGCTCCTCCTGGTCCTGGGGATGCCAGGTACCTTGCAGAGTATTGTGCCCCCTCATTTAGGCTTTTGCCTTTTCCCTTCCCCTGCAAGGACAGTCCATGCCCCTCTCCCAACAGGTGCACCTGCTCTGTATGGGTGGGGCAGAGTCAAAGAGGGGGACTTGAACTCCAGGTTTTTGGTGACATGAGAATAACTCATCTTCAGAAAATCCAACTCTTCATGAGTGGTTCATGTACATGGAAGTGAAGCTGCAGAGTGGTGGGGACAGCATAACAGAGGCTTGACCTGGGGGCCTGGAGTTCTGCTTCTCTGTCAATTCCTTGTCTGATTCAACTTCTCTGACCTTAGTTTCTGTATCTTCAATGTGAGGAATCAGATGTGAACTGGATAAACTGTGTTGTGCAGAGTCCTGGGCAGCACTGAGGCCCTGAGGACAATGGGGGAGGGCAGATGGACCCCCCCCCACTACCACCCAGGTTAAACCACTTTGACTTGGTGTATCTATTAGGGTGACAAGTAAGCCCTCAATTAAGCAAAAGATTCTGTGGTTATAAAAAGGCTTGAAAACCACACGACCAATAGTAGCGGAGGTCCTTCCAGCTCTGACTACTATGACTTAGAAAAAGGAAGTTCATCCAGAGGAGCCTGATCGGTGGGCATCACCAAGCTTCCCTCCCCACCAACTCGACTTCCCTCTCCCAGAGTCGCTCCTTCCTCAATGTCTTTGCTGCCTCACCCCATCACTCTGTCTGCAGCTCTTTTCCCTCCTCTCCATTCACTTAATTCTGCCTGATACACCCACAAGCCGGCGATTCCAAGGTCAGAGTCAGGAAACTGGATCCTACTCTAAGTGTAATCTAGCTGGTGGCCATGCCTGTGTGGGGACTTCATGTCCTTGAGGCTGACTTTCAGCCAGGCATGACCCTCCATGTTAAACCTTGCTACTGGTGAGAAGGAAAATTATCCCTGGGACAAGAAAAGTAGTGTCCTCTAAGTAGGTCTTCAGTGGCTGGTAACTCCATAAGGCAGGACTCATGGAAGAAGCCCCACCCTGGCCACCAGGTCCCTTGAATCAGGCCCCAGTGTTCCCATTCCATTGTACCATCATCCAGCTGAAAACCATCTACCTTTAGCTTCTGAAGTGGGAATGGTATGTGATTGCCAACTGGACCTCTGGACTGAGAAACAAAGCAAGATGTAAGACCACTTTGTACCAGGGAAAAATAATTTAAAAGTCTCTCACACACACACATACACACATACACTGCAAAAATAGAATTGTTCACTGCCCATGTACAGTGGGTAGGAGACCTATCCTCTTTCCATTTTGAAAAACCGGGATGCTGAAGAGATCAGATGAATTCATGTCATGTCCCTGACTGTACACTAAGGACATGCTCAATCGGGTACCCAGATGCTGGGGTCAGACCACCTGGGTTGTAATAGTTATCAGCAATGTGATCTTGGGCAAGCTACTTAGCATCTCTGGGCCTCAGTTTTCTCTGTCATAAAACAGAGTTAATTTTGAGTCACTGTGAAAATCAACTGAATTAAAACACGTGAAATACCAGAACTGTGTTTGGCTCACAGTTAGCTTTCTGTGCTGGGCGTCATTATGGCTTAGGTGTGCTCCCCTGGTTCCTGCCTGCTGCACTGATACCTGGTGTCGATGCCTGGTAAATACATTGGTTAAAAAGCAATGTGCCATTTATAGCTGACTGACTGACTTTGGCTCATGGCTGTATTTATAGAGCTTGGCCAAAAAAAAATAGGTCTCAATTAATATGTGTTGAGTATAAATGATGTGTTCTAGTCTCCTCCCTGCTCAGATTTGGGTTCTCTCTCTCTCTCTCTCTCTCTCTCTCTCTCTCTCAGCACTTGTTACAGTGTAAGAACAATCTTTGCTCCCTTCTGCCCCATCACTTTCTCCTTTTTCTTATGGTTTTGATGCCCCAGCAAGTAGCTGGAGCTACTTCTGGCTCAGTTACTATTTATGTGATCTTAAGTTCATTGTTGGGCATCTAAAAACTTCCTTTTCTCTAATCACTTGCTCTAGAATCCAGGAGTTATTCTTGACATCCACTTTCCTATTAGCACCCCTTTCTCACCCACATCCAATCAACCACCTGGTCTGAGAGATTCTCCTTCTTAATGTCTTGGATCAGCTGAGTCAGCTGTGGCACCACTTGGCCTTTCCTCCCCTGCCTCGCTTACCAAACCCACCTTGTCTCCCTGCTCCATGCCCCACTCCCCATCCAGCCTCTGCCCTCCCCAGTTTACCCATCCAAAGCTGATGGCGCCACTCTCTCACTTCAGTCCTTCAGGGTCCCTGTGGATCCTGGATATCACTTCAATCCTTCATGCTATTTGCTTTAGTGTTTCATGGCTCGCCCTGCAAGGCCTGCCTGAGCTCATTTTCTAGAATGCCGCACCCTTTCTTCTCTGTCCACACCCTTCCAAATGTTTTCTCTTCATGTATGCCATGCACCCATAGAAAATAGATAATGTTGCTCTGTGGATTCACTTTTTTACATAAAAACTATCATACTATATAAATACTTTTCCAACTAGACTTTGACATTCAGTAGGATGCCTTGGAAATCCTTCTACATGCAGATATTCAAACACAGACAGAACTGGCTCTTCTTTGTAACCACCACACACATCCATTCCACAGTGAGGGCTATGGCAGAGTTATTCAGCTGTCCCCAAGTTTGATGAGCCCTAGGATGGCTTCCAATTTCCCATAGTAAAAGCTTTCCTGCTCCAAACATCCTTGTGCACATAGGAAAGTTTTTCTCTTGGAGAGATGCAAAGAAGTGGAATTGTTGTGTCACAGAGGGTGTGCCCAGTTTTACTGTAATGAATTCAACCAATTGCCATGCCTTAAGATAATAGGATTGAACCAACTACCCTCATCTGTCATTATCAGACCTTTAGGTCCCACCCCCACTCACACAGCTCTTCCAACTCTATCTTCCAAATACCCATAGGCTTATCCCAAGAGAAATATGAGCAAAGGTCTTTGTCTCTAAGGAGCTACACACATGAATGGGCTGTAAAATAGGGCCATTGTGGAAATGAGGCCTTGGACTTGGACACTTGTCCAAGGCAGTTGGGCCTGGAGGGCTCCCCTGCAAGGAAAGCATGTTTGTACCAGCAATCAAGGCAATGGAAGGTCCTGGAGGCTGGGGTTGGAGTAGGTCAAAGTCAGGTACTCCTCCGCCCAAGTCCCCACACCTGGCTTCCCCAGGCCGACACTTTCATCATTGAGGCTGCTGATTTGGGTGTCATCTACAAAATCAAGCTCCGCCATGACAACACTAAGTGGTGTGCAGACTGGTATGTGGAGAAGGTGGAGATCTGGAATGATACCAATGAGGATGAGTTCCTGTTCCTGTGCGGGCGCTGGCTGTCCCTGAAGAAAGAGGATGGGCGACTAGAGAGACTCTTTTATGAGAAGGTAGTTAGGGGTAGTCAGACCTTGGCTCAGCCATGGTCCTGGGGGAGGATCCATGGGAGAGGTGCTGGAGCTGTAATGGGCCAAGCTTATACTTTTCTGAACAGGAGTACACTGGGGACCGAAGTAGCAACTGCAGCAGCCCCGCTGACTTCTGGGAGATCGCCCTGAGCTCCAAGATGGCCGATGTGGATATTGCTACAGTGACAGGACCCATGGCTGACTATGTTCAGGAGGGCCCAGGTAGGTTGAGCTGGGCACTTTTGAGAAGGGAAGCAGGCACAGGAAATGGTTTTAAGCTGTTCTTAGACAAGCTGTCCTTTAGCACAACTGTTGATGACTTAGGTCTAGTACTTTATAATTTACAGTATTCATATGCGCTACCTATTTTCATCCCCTGGTAAGCCACCTTTACAGATGGAGAAGCAAAGGCTAAAGGAAGTTAGGGTGCCAATGTCCTCAATCCACTGATTCTCCACAAGGAGGGTATCCACTTACATTCTGCCCTCACCCAGACTCTCAGAACAGAGACTCCACCCAGAGGGCCAGGGAGAACTAGACAGAAGCCAGCAGCAGTGGTGGAAATCCATGTTAATGGTATCCCCCACAAAGCACTCAGTCACACAAAGCATGATAGTGAGTGAAGGATCCAGGAAAGAGGTTTCAAACTGATTGTTTGGTGATGCAAACTCCGTTTCTGCTTCTGATAAGAAAACCAGCATCGGACAAGTCAGTCTCTTAGCTTCATGTTTTTCTTTCTTCATAAAACAGTATCATAATTCCAGCAAGTTCAGTTTGTCAAGTAGATTTTTGAGATCAGGCAGTTCTGTATTTGTCTGTTGACTATGTAAATGCTCTACCTTCCTGTTCAGTTCACTTAAGCATAAGAGTGTGGTCACCATGATGTTCCCCTCCAAGACACCATAGCGTGGGTCTGTGCGGTCAGGCAGAGAAAGTCAATCTATTTACATTCTTTCTCTGTGAATAAAGGACAAAGCCCCACTGAAAGGCCAGAGGAGCTCTACTTAAAAAGGCAAAACCAGGCCACGCACAGGTGTAGGAAACAGTGCAGGTAATTCCAGCCAGGAAGGGCTAACTTGGAAACTTTCCAAAGAGATGCAGATTACATGACCTCAACCTCCTACACCAGGGCAGGCTCTCATCCACTGAGGAAGATGGGCCAGGAGAAGGTTTCCAACCTATATCAATTAACTGCAAATGACAGAGACCTGGAAACAGTGGCTTAAACCAATTCAGAATTTTTCTTTTCTCTTGTATAAATGTTCAAAGGCAGGCTATCTGGGACTAATCCAGCAGCTCCAATGAAGACAGGGACCTAGGTTCCTTCAACCTTGTCACTCTGGCAACTTTAGAAATGGCTTCCATCCCAAAGGTTGCCCATTATTCCAAGATAGCTGTTGGAGCTCCAGCTATCACATCCACATTCTAAGGAGAATGAATGGAAGGGTAAGGAGTAAAAGGGTACCCTTCCAGGAGAGTCAGACCCTTTAAAAAAGATTTTCTCAGAAACCCACCCAACAATAGCTGCTGACATTAGAACCACCTCTAGCTGCCAAGAGAGTGCGTGTGTACTGAGGATATCTAGAACGCTAGGCCATGCCACCTGAACAAGTTTTTATGTGGACTAATTTGATTTGGCTTGGAAAGAGATGTCTTCTAGGACTTTCCTCTACCATGTTACATACGCTATAGACTTTTATTATTCTTCCCAAATTGACACTCCAAACAAGTGACAAGGACACTCTTGGACCTTCACATTGGATGTTACCAATTGCTTTTATCTTGGAGAGTAGACATGCATACAGCAAACTTGCTGCCAGTCTGGGAAGTTTCATTGCACTTGGTCTCTGAGCAGAGAGCAGAGGTCATTACCCTCCAGAGGTCATTTCCAAGTTCACAAGTCCACCTAGACCCCCACAATCTCTTGCAGTTATTCCCTACTATGTGTCAGTCACCACCGGGAAGCACAAAGATGCGGCCACTGACAGCCGAGCCTTCATCTTACTCATTGGAGAGGATGAGGAGCGCAGCAACCGCATCTGGCTAGACTACCCCCAAGGGAAGAAGGGCTTCACCTGTGGCTCTGTGGAAGAGTTCTTCGTTGGAGGCTTGGATGTGGGCATCATCAAGAAAATAGAGGTGCTGACCTTGGGTCTCGTGATGGTGACCACCCCCAGGGAAGGAAGGATTGGCACCTGGGGGTGGGGAGTGGAGGACAGGCAGAGCAATGACTGGGAGCCTATCCAGAGTCAACTTTGGACTTTGAGTTTGGATAAACTCAAAGTCATCTGGGTCTCCATTTTCCACTCACCCAATGAGGACATTCATTTTCTGTTTCTGTGTAATGAATTCCCACCAACTTAATAATTCAAAAACACATAGCTGTATGATCTTTGATAAGTGGGAGTCCAGATGTGAGTTAGCTGGAGCCACTTCTCAAGGTCTCCTGAGAAAGAAAGAAAACTGCAGCCAGGGCTGCCATCTTGTCTGAGGCTTTGGATCCTCCTGCGAGTTTACTGGTTGTTAGCCAAATCAGTCTTGGTGTTGTAGGACTGAGGCCTTCAATTCCCAGAGACTAAACCGCCACTCCCCACCATGTGGGGCTCTCCAACACCTGGAATTGTGCTTGTTCCAGACCAGAAGGAGGCACACTCCTCTGCTCCAAACCTCTTTGACTTCCATTCTTGACACCCAGACCCTCTTTTAAAGAGCTTGTTTGATGAGCTCATGCCCACCCAGAGTCAAATTTTGACAAACTCAAAGTCATCTACTTAGATATGCAAAAGAGCTTTTCCTTCATGGAGTGCCCACCACATTGGAAGGAAACACTGAGGGATGAGGCATAGGACCAGGAGGGGGACCTTAAGCAGAGAGGACTTTCTTCCTGGTTTTGCCCAGATCCTCACAAGGCTGGTGTGTCTCTCCTCTCCAGCTGGGCCATGATGGGGCTTCCCCAGAGAGCTGCTGGCTGGTGGAGGAGCTGTGTTTGGCAGTGCCCACCCAGGGCACCAAGTACACATTGCATTGCAACTGCTGGCTTGCCAAGGACAGAGGGGATGGTGTCACTTCCCGTGTCTTTGACCTCCTGGATGCCATGGTGGTGAACATTGGGGTGAAGGTATGTGAATGTGCCCTGCAGATGGGGACAGCAGAGGAGATAGAAGTGAGGGAGCTCGGAGAGACATCACTGGGACCCTGGCAGAAGCTGCAGCCTGGTACACTGGCTAGATTCACTTAACAAGGAGACGGGGGTTGAACTCTCTTTTGGTCTACTGCTGTGTGACTTTGGGCAAGTCTCCTGGCGTCTCTCGGCTTTGGTCTTCTCATACACCACATGGAAATAATGCTTCCATTCATGGCCTGCTCTGTGTTAGATCTTGATGAGAACTAATGAGATCATGAACAGGTAATGAAGAGCCTTGGAAGGTAACAGCTCTACACAGACACAGGGTCAGAATTCTCCCAGTGTCTGATGAGCCCATGGAGAAAGAAGGCATTAGAGATACTGGGAACCTCTGGATCTCATAGGGCAACGAGTGTTGTCCACAGAAACCCTGAGCTCCTGTCCTTGTTCCATGTATAAACTCACAGGTCAGAGTCAGGCAGGAGGCAGGATTCCTGGGGGGCTGGGCTCAAGGACACACAGTCAGTTGGTGGCCCAGACTTTGGGTTGCCTGACCCTGTGGGCTTCCCTTTCTCATAAGCTGTAGGGCCTACAGAATGCCCAGCCAGTGGGTTCCTTGGTTTAGTTCAGAGTCCATCCCAGAGCAGGGCTGCCTGGTTTGCATGTGGAAACAGCAGGAGGGGCTGCAAGCTAAACTCAAGTCCTTGGCAGGCAAAAGTGGGGTGCCTTCTCCTCCCCTGCAGGAGAGCAGAATTTTCTACAGCACAGACAGCCTCCCCCTTCCCCAACAGCTCCATCTGTGGCCAAATACGCTGTGTGGGTGCACACACCATTCATGCAGGGGCCTCCGCCCTGACCCACTTCCCAGCCTCTGTGTGTCTGTGTGTGCCCCGCACCCAGCACACATCACACCCTGCTCAGGGCAGCTGCCTCTCCTCCCAGCTCTCTGGTCCAGGAAAATCCAGATCCACATCCCTGCTATTTGCAGAACAAAAGAACACAGGCTCATCACTTTACAAAGAACCACGGGCCCTTTGGACTGGCCCTCTCCCCAGGATGCCTGATACCAGGCCGGAATTACAGGCGCCCTGCTCTGTCTCTTTTTGGAAACACACTGATTACATAAATAGGTATGTGTCTGTGTAAAAGGAGAGCAAGATGGATGCAGGGAACACAGGGGCTGGAAGGGCCCACCCTCAGGGGCTGATTTTGATCATTCTATTTTTTCATTCCTGTTTGGAGGACAACAAGAAAGGGTCAGGTTCCCACTTGTTCCCAGCAACCTTCCTGCCTATCATGTGCATCCATGGAGGGCAGTCTAAGGGGGCTTCCCATAAACCAAGAGCTCTTCATGCATCCCTCTGCAAATGTGTGCTGAGCTCTCTGTGGGCTAGGCCTGCACACGATACTGCTAGCAACGGATAGAAGTATCCTGTCACAACAAAGATTCTAGACGCTTCTAGAAAAGTACCACCTGACACAAATCGTGACCACTGAGATGAATAACTTGGGTTCTGTGATCCTAGGCTTATGGGTGGTGGGGCCCAAGTTCCTACCTGCACAGGTGAGACAGGTTGTGGCAGCCATGGGAGAAGGGAGGGGCTGGAGGTATTCAAAGGAAACAGCCCAGCAGTTCCTCTACCTCTCCTAAACCTTTAGGCCTACTTGTTAGTCCGTGGGCCTTTGGTGAGGGGGAATAGAGTAGAGATCCAGAACCATAGAACACTCTAGAATGTCAGCTCAGGCTGTCTTTTAGAGAAAGAACCCTGACAGGGCCTCAGAACAGGCACCCAGGAAGGGCAGACTCTCCCTTGCTCAGCACACCCATAGGAACTACCCGTGGTGTGTCTGCAAGGAGTGTCCCTATTTTACCACAGGGAAAACAGAGGCTGGCACAGGCCAAGGACATTCACCTAGGGTCCATGGCTGGCAGATTGAAATGGACCTGTGATGGCTCCCGAAGCCAACGTCCTGCCACCATTCGCTCCTAGCATGAATGCACTGATAAAGAATCCCTCGGTGCTGTGCCTTGCTGGACTCAGTGGTACAGGCATCCAATCCTAGCACTCAAAAGCTGGAGTTGCAGAATTTGAAGCCAGTTTGGTTACATAGCAAGATCCTGTCTCAGAAAAAAACAAAGCAACGCTGAGGCCTTCAGCCATGTTTCTGTTGCACAAAGCGCCTCTGTCAGAAGCTGTTCTCCTCCCTTTTTGGGCAGGGCACAATAGGGGCTGGAGAGCCTCAGTCCTGCTTCTTGTCTGCAGACTTGCACAGGTGGCTGGGGAAGGCTTTCTCAGAACCACAGAGCTTGGAGAGCAAGTCTTCTTTCCCTGGGGAGACTGAGACAGGCTGGGTGTGTCAGTAGGTAAGGCTGACGCTCAAGACCATGTCCCTTTCATGCCAGGTGCTTTATGAAATGACAGTGTGGACCGGTGATGTGGTTGGAGGGGGCACCGACTCCAACATCTTCATGACTCTGTACGGCATCAATGGCAGCACAGAGGAGGTACAGCTGGACAAGAAAAAGGCCAGGTACCTGGTCCCCCACACCCTTCCTTAGATCCACCCCTCTGCCCCACCTGGCCCTCAGCCAGACTGGCTCTGTCACACCCCCTACACACCAAGGGACCTTCCAGCCACCATGCCTTTGTTCCTTCTGTCTCAATCCCTTTCTCTCTCAAGGGCTGCTCAAATCTCCCTCCTGCAGGAAGCCTTCCTTGGTCACCACAGCCCATAGCAATTCTCCCCTTCTTCCTTCCTTCCATCCCTCAGAAACCTGCACCGTGAGGTCTATACATCAGTTGTTGTTGACAGTGTTGCCTCTTTGTTCATTTTCTGGCTTTGTCCATTGTACTGTAACCATGCCTGATGTTGACATTAGAGGACACTGAGTGAAGCATGCACAGAAGTCATCTATGTGCTAAGAAGAGGCGGGCATCCCATGTGATTGCACTAGAAAGCTCGTTTGGGTGTCTGATTTGTCCTGAGTTGGGAATGGGGATGAAGTAAGGAAGCTGGCAGACCCTGGACACCCTGAAACCAATTTCAGAAGAGGCCATGATTCCCTGGGACAGTGGCTGCCGAGTGCAGAGTCTGTGAGTCAGAGTTCAGTTTTCATGTGTGGCCTGAATATTGTTCCTTTGCAAGTGTAGCCTGTGGAATCCTCACCTCTACACTCCAAATCTGAGCTCCACCTACCCCCAAACTCCCCGATTTTTTTCTAGATAATTATCTCATACTTATAGTTCACCTTATTCGTCCAAGGCATCAATGCCGGGGGCGGGGGGGGGGGGAGGAGGGCCAGAGAGGGAGAGAGAAAGAGAGATCATCTCTAGAAGCATCTAAATTCCAAAAATGGTGTTTGAAATTTCATCATTATGAGCACAGCCATATCATAAGTGCTCCAGGGCCCTTGTTAGTTAAAGGATTTTCTGTTCTGTATAAAGATTGATTAATAGTCTGGTTTGCAAGCCCCAGGCTCGCCCTTATCTGCAGCATGTTGAACTTTACTGCATCTGTGTGTGGCTGGATGTTTCACTGTACCTTTGGAGCCCTTGTTGTGGGTGTCTACATCTTGACAAGGGGACTAGGTATGTGTCATGGGCACACCTTGGTGTGCAAGAAAGATGGTGGAGCCAGAATAAAGGCTGAAACATGCCTGTGTGCATACACCCACCCACCCTCCTTCACACACACGCACAAAGCCTGTGAGACACACAGTCAATAGTAACTCACTCAGCCCCTCTACACTCTGTGTGAGAGCTTTTTTTATTTCTAATAATCATAAACCACACACAAGTGTGGTTCCAAAAGACTCGGCCTATGTGCAACCATTGCCTTTGAGATGAGGTGTACTTAGTTCTCACTTGGCAGTTCTTGCAGTCTCAGCCCCCACTGGCTGTGGCCTGTTTTAAAAATATGTCTTGTATCCAAGGAAGCATAAAACTGCCATTCGAAGCCGTCTTCAGGGCGGGCCACCTGCACTTCCCCGGGGGCCTGTCAGCAGTATCATCTGGAATCAGTCTCAGTCAAGCAATCAGTCACCATTGAAGGTCGCATCGTACAGGTGGCACTGTGGGAAGAGCAGTAAGGAATAAAGATAGAGCATCTCTGAGATGATGAGGTCATTCGGCAGAAAAATAATAATAGCAACAAAAGCAACACTACCTTCAATCTCTACCACTTTACAGTTGTCGAGAGCATTACCCAATCCAGAGATGCTGTGTTCAGTTGTGCAGATCGCATGTAGAAACGTGAATGATGCTTTCTAGAGTTGTGCAGTGCACAGCCTGTACCCCCATTCACAATAACCCTGTCACTCAGAGAATCTCATTTAACGCTCTTCAGTTAGGAAATCCTTTTTGACTTAATGTTGATCTCACATCATTTGATCCTCACAACAGTTTGAGATCACAGGGTTAGTGTCATTCTCCCCAGACTACAAGTGAGGAAACCCAGTCGCACAGAGGAGCTGGAACTGTTGCAGGTGACTAGCAAGTGAGATTAGAACCCAGAACTGGTAAGCCTTGGCTCAGGGATACTTGTCTCAGCTAAACCTGTTTAACTCAGTCTTTCAGAAGCATGTCTAGCTTGTAAGAAATGGGCTGGTGGGGAGTTGCTAGGAGCAGAAGAGGCTGAGCAAAGGCCCTGTCTTCTTCCCTTGCCCCCAGTCTGGTCTCTGACCATAGCCAGCTTCCCTCCTTTACACCCCCTCCCACCCTAGGTTTGAGCGGGAGCAGAACGACACCTTCATCATGGAGATCCTGGACATTGCTCCCTTCACCAAGATGCGGATCCGCATTGACGGCCTGGGCAGCCGGCCCGAGTGGTTCCTGGAGAGGGTACAGTGCCCAGCCCCACGTTCCTGGCCCACCCCGCCCACATCCTCTCCCTGCTCTGTTACAGCTGTCACTAAATAGGGTATCGCACAACCCCAGCCCTGTGATCCAACATGTCCACTGGTGTGAATTAATCCCAGAACGTAGCTTTATTTATTTGTGTCCAGTGAGAGTTGAATCCAAACCACTGCCAGAGGACACAGGATGACATGGACAGAGCAGAGTGGGGGGCCTGGCCCAGCTTTCTCTGCATGAGGGTCACAGGGGTTAAGAGGGGAGCATTAGAACTGTAGCATGAGATCATGGGATTGGGATGGGTAGGCAGGATGGCGGGGAGCTTCCTGCAGCCCTGGATCATGTACTAGGTGGCTGTCCCTTCTGCCAGCTTCTCCTTCTCATCGTCAAGAGTCTGAGCCTGCCAGCTGCAGCCCAGCTGGGGTCCTGTCCCTGGGTGCTCAAGTGCGCTGAGAGCAGCCACAAGGCTGGGATGCTGAGACCCTAGAGCAGCAGCCTGCTGTCTCTTAGTTCTGGTTCCATCCAGCCTCCATAGCACACGGGTGCACACACCACACACCACACCACACACACACATACACACACACATACCATATACACCACACACACCACACACCACACACATATACACACACACCTCATCAAACACACCACACACCACACACATCCCCAAACACACACTGCACACATCACACACACACACACACACACACCAAACATCATATACTGCACATATACATTATGCCACACACACAATACACACATACCATATACACCACACACACTGCACACAGCACACACACACCTTACACACCACACACACCACATACACACAAACCACATGTACACCACATACACATACACACACCACACACATATACACACACACACCATACTCACACCTTACACATATACCAAACACACCACACACACCACACACCATACACACCACACACACATACCACACAGGCACCACACACACACTATATGTACCACACACACCAAACATACCACATATACATACCACATACACTGTACACACTCCACACACACCATACACCACACACAACCATGCACACACACACAGACAGCCACAGACTCAGCTTCCCCTGGGATAGAAGGCTCCTTCTTCCAATGTGACTTTCTCAGCGTTCTTTCCTCCCAGTCTCATGGGGCCCCAGCCCCCAGGGTGTCAGAGGATAGCCATCGACACTCACTCTGGAGCAGAGTGGGCTGCTCCCTGAGCCTGGGGCCAAGTGCACTGCGTTTTGATGGGAACTAATCTGATGTGAGGTGCATCACACTTTCCAAGCTATGTGTGGCCCCATAGCTGGAGGCTTTGGCTGCCAGAAGAGCCCTGCCTG